TGCTGACAACTTAATTTCTTCAGACGGAGTAAGAAGCCTAGAAGCGCTAGTTGTTGTTCTTAAGTAACGAAGTGGATCTGAATAATCTACTTCTTGCATGGAAACACGCTTTCTCCTGCTGGAGGAGCCAGACTTAATAGATGTAATATTTGTGGTAGCCTTCTCTGCTGCTCTGACTCTTTTAGCTTTTCTTTCTATTTGGCGCCTAGATCTTACGGCAATACTGTCAGAAAGCTCTTCCTGAAGACACTCAAGTTCCTCAAGGGAAGGCTCTACATCAGATTCCTCTTCACTGGGGTTTATGTCAACACCTTCCATTATTTCCGCACCAGCATCTATGGATCCTCCTGCTACACCATCTTCTGCTTCCATATGTTGAAACCATTTGAGAAGTAAATCATCAGATTTGGAAGAAACATGTGATCTATACTCTGCTTCTGCTGGGGGCTTCTTTTTTACTAGTAAAGCTGCATCCTTCGCAACCTTCACAGCTGCTTTAGCAAGAGCAAGAGCTTCAGACGCAGCAGCAGCTATTACAGCCTCTTCATTTGTAAGAAGAGATTCCGCAGATAAGGTTGATTTAAAGTTATCCTGATTAAAGGCATAAATATAATTAGTTCCTGAGTAAGCTTGACATATCAAAATATCTCCGCATGGCCACATAACTATAGAAATAATCCAAAAGTAAGAAATTAATCCAGAAATAAAATGTGCATTCACTATTAAAATTTGCATATAAAAAAAAGTAGAGAAGTTTCAAAGCTTCCAAATCGGAATCTATAATAGTTCCTACTTGTGATTTGGATGGCAATGAAAACAGAATGAGCATAGCAAGAGAAATTTCAACAGTGAGAAATCAAGAAAAGAGTGAAACTTTATTTATTGTTTTGGAAGGAAAAAATTTTGGGAACAGGCGATGAATTGTTCCATTCCAAAATCATAGTATCAATGAAGGCCAGCCATGCCCAAGACCTTTTTTGTCAAGAGCAAGGCAATTGAATCTTACCTACCAACTTTCACAAGGCCATGTCTAGAAATTCTTGAGCCTTAGGCAAAAATTATGGTTTGAGGCATAATCTAATGTAAGTCATCAATCCTGATTTTGTTTTTCTAACTTTTTCTAAGCAAAAAAATTACAATAGAGAATTTTGATATTTCACTTGATCTTAATAAATAGTATGGCTAGTCTATTGGACTTATCTTATACTAGAAATCGAGTATAATTTCTTTTGTTAGGATTTGTAATAACACTTTCTAGTTCTACTCTAAAAGTAAATCAAGATACTCTGTAATCCAATAATTTATTTTGTTAAAGTGTAGAGCTGATGCAACCCTAAAGAAGAGAAGTTGAGCAGAGCTTTGGAACATTGTTATTATCGTAAGGAACCTGTGAGGGAGCAGTGATATAGGGCCAAGGCGTGTTTGGATGAGAAGGAGCTTCTAATGCCAACTTGTTTTCCAAATTAAGGAGCGTTGAAGGAGGAGAAGTGGCAGACAAGACGCATTGTGGCTGGAGACACAAATTGGGTCTTGTTTTGGCTGCAAAGCAAAAAAAGAGGAGTGAGAAGAGAATGGAATTGCGATGGGAGAGAGAGAGAGAGAGAGAAAGAAAGAGAAAGGGTTACATTACATGGATGATGGGCATAGGGAAGAGGCCTGAACGTGTCGAGGTGGCAGTTGAAGTGCGGCAACAAACACGACATTCTAGTGGATGCGGCGAAGAAGAATGATATGGTTTTGGTCTGTTAATTGAAAAGCAACGCTACGAAGGAGAGTGAAGGGGGTCATCTGATGTCATAGCAGTTGTTGAACATGAACAAGAACAAGAACAGGATGAGTGTTGTGTTGTGTTGGGAATGGGCGTTTGTGACAGAACAGAACAGAACATGCGGATAAGAGGGTGAGGTGAGGGAAGCTCAACCGTGCCCACGCCACAAAACAAATCCCACTTTCACTTCTTACTGCCCTTTCTTTTATTAAATATTAAATTCATATCATAAATTACCCTTTTAGTTTTACGGGTTCACCATCAAAGAAAAAACACATAGATCTTTTATATATATTCAAAAAAAAAATTAGAGTACTTTTAGACATTATTTTTTTATAAAAGCATTTTTAGAATTTATTTTTAACAAAAGCATTTTTAATAAAAAAAAATTAACAAAAATATTTTTTAGAATTTCTTTTAATTTTTTTTCTCTTTTAATAAAATTAGTGAGTAACTCATCCATATGCACAGTGTTTTCTTTACTTGATTACTTGTGAAATAATTATTATTTAAATAATTCTACATAAAATTAAAAAAAAACAATAAAATGAAAATACATACAAAGGAAAAAAATATAAGACAATTTTATATTCTATATGTATTTTTATAACTGACATATTTAAAATCAACCGTATTATTTTTTTGTGGTCATAATCTTTATCTTTCCTAATTATATTTTTCTATAACTATCACATTTTACAAATCTTTTTGCAACAATTATATTTTAATTTTTTTTAGTTAAAGTTTACACCAGACAAAAGTGGTAACATGTGACTAAAATACCCAAATTTTAATAAATGTGAACAATTAAAAAAAGTTAAAAATGTGACTTTTTTAGCCTAAGAAATATGAAACAACTAACTTTTGAAATGATAAAAATCACAATTTTAATATTGGTTTGAAAGAGAATCGGTTTCCATAATAGGTTCTTTTAATCATATTGTATGTCTACTAAAAATTATCTCCTTTTTTTTATTTTAGTGACTTTAATTTCTTATAACTATATACTTCTTTTTTTTTATGATTTTCAAATCTTATATTTAGTCTTTTGGTCTTTTTGTATCTAACTCACATATATGTGAATATAGAGAAAGAGAGAGTCAATATCTATTGACAATAGGTTCTATTGACAATAGGTGTAAGTTCAAACACTTACACTAAATCTGATTTTTTTATACTTTTTATATAATGTAAATTTAATCAATTTAATTATTAGACTATGTAGTATTATATTCAAGATCATGTATAACAAATTTTGTATGATTCCAAAATTATTTGTTATTTTATCACATTGTTTTATTTTAACGTATAATATGACATTCAAAATATGTGTAAATATCTATTTTTGGATAATATATACAAAAAAAATTTAAATCACGTGAAATTTGATATCCATGATCTTAAATATAATATTATATGATTCAACGAATGAATCAGTTAAATTTGTATTATATAAAAAGTTATTCTTGTGTTTTTTTTTTGTAATTGATGCATAATTCAGAGAGTGGACAAAGATCCTTGATTTGTGTGATTTGGCAAAAATCTCATCAGTCAATTTTTAGTTCTTAACCTTAATGCAGGATTGTTTAACAAAAATTATCAAGAAATTAAGATTTCTCTTAAACAACCTAAAACTTCTCACTTAAGGAATTAAGGTTTAAATATTGAATTAATTGTTTAATTACAAAATAAATAAAAAATTTATAGAATTTTATATAAAAAAGTTAGTGAATCATGATTACTTTTATTCTATACTAATTTCATCCAATTTATTGTTTTCTTTAAGTTTCTGCAATTAATTATTTCTTTACATAATTCAATTTAATAAATTTTTAATTTACCTATTTAATATCATACTTACATTAAATAATTATAAACACAAGTCTCTTTGGATGGATAACTTAGACTTTTGTTCTCTTTACTATTTGTCAGTTGATATACTTGTCAAATATGTATTATATAAAATATTGAATATAAATTTTGCCTAAAATTTAAAAAAAATTATCCCGACTTTAAAGAAGGTGTGGGTAACACGTACAAGTATATACAGAAATAAGATTTAAGTTATTTCCCACGCATACATGAGTTCGACTAAGAGTAATTTTTTATTTTTATTTTAAAATGTATAAATGGGGGAATACTACAGTATGCTTACTCATTGTCGTCCGTAATGGTAATGCATCTTTATTATCTTTTCTTCCACCTTTTGTTTTGTAAATGTTTCACCCAATTTGATTCGCCACATTCATTAGCCTGTCAGAATAATCATTGAAAAATTCTTTATCCTTTGTCTTCATTAACTTAAAGTCTCTTCAAGGTGAGAATTTAACCCCATAATTTTGATGAAAATGTGAAATGCAAGTCTTTAAAAATTAGGAAAAGTCTGTAATACTTATTGATAATTGTTTTCAATATTTTATAATATAAAAAAACAGAAAAGAAAAGATAGGTTCATTACATAAAAAAACAAAAAAAATAGGAAATTTTATAATGAAGTGTGAGAGTGAAATGAATAGAAAGATTCATGTGTGGTTTCGGGTCCAAAGGCAAAAACTCTCGCAACTCTGGCATGAATCATCTCAAGACAAAACAACACGGACTCGTTGGAAGGGTTAGCTGTAGTTTTTTTACAAAAGGGGATTATAGAATGATAAAATAATGACTCACAAATAGATTAAATAACAACAAAATCCAATGGCACAAATTCAAGAAAGATATAAAGGGAAGATCGATGCCATGACTTAGATGAAGTGGTCTAACATCTTCAAGTTAATTAAGGAGGTGTCCTACCCATTGGTCCAACACATCAGGGGAACCATACCATGGTCTGGTTACATCATCTGCACCAACTGGCGAGTGATAAACTCCATCGAAGGAAATGTTAAGTGCACCCTCGAGATGAGCCGATACTTCTGGCACAACACCATCGCCCCATACATCTGCTTGCCCACAAACCTAACAAACTCTTACAGCTTTGGTCAGATATGTAGGTTTGAGTATAAATGAAGAGTTAAAAAAAGAAGATTCACCTGCTTGTATCCTTGCCCAACAAAGCGAGCACGTAATGTTGTATTAGGTGGGTCAGTGTTCATAATGGCAGCCTCGGATACTAGCTGAGAACTATCAGTTGGAACTACAGCCTCAGCCTCAATAGTCGGATCGGAGTTGCCAAAGAGTCGAGCCCCTTTAATATACCTTCATTTTGTGGCAGTAGTATAATTGAATATGGAAAAAGAATTTGTAATATATTATCCAAGATTGAAAGACAAAGTAAAAATTGGCTTACCTCCCTGCTATACACACATACTTGAGTTGAGGGGTGTAAACAGGTTTGGAGCAATTTTTTTGAACATAATGAAGGAGACCCCGCGTTTGATCAATAACCCCTGACACGCCATTTGGGGGAGGACTGAAAAGTGAAGCTGATTAGAGCAGTCCTAGAGCGTTGAAGAATGAAGATGGAAAGAGAAAGGAAATTACAGGTGAGGGGTTCCAAGAGTCAACAAGAGGGAGACATGGGAGAATCCAAATTGTTCCATATACACACGTGCAAGCCATCCTCCTGCGGAGTGTCCAATCAATGAGACAGTGGCAGTTGAACCTTGTCCTTGTGTTTCCTTGGCCTGTTGAACAGCATGGTGAACCCTCTCTAAATACCTAGGCTAGCAGAGTGAGTTAGTTAGTTAGTTACATAGAGCGAGAGAGAATGAAAGATGTTAATTTTACCAATCGAGGACAGGTGTGGGTTGAAGAGTGGCACGCCAGTAATTGGGGTCGACCAAACCAGCGGCGTTGCGAAGCCAATCAAGTCTGGACACCTTAGCCACCACGGTTTGAACGCCGTACTTCTCCTTCAGCGTTTGCTTCAACCTCTGGTAGTCACCCGTGTTGTTTCCCAATCCCTGCGCGCAGTACCAATCAAAAAGCAGAATGAATAATGCAATTGCAAATGTCTCTGTTTGAGAGAGAGAGAGAGAGAGAGAGAGATTAACGGGAAGAATAACGGCGGGGCGATAGTTGGTGTTTGAGGAACAAAGCAGTGACGTGTGCGGAGAGATGGAGGAGGAGGACAATGCCGCATCCATTTCTCTCCACAAATTCCTTACCCTTTTTAATTCTCTCGTGTCTCTTCTGCTATCAGATTCTCTAAAATAAATTATTTTGCAAATCTGGTAGCATCAATCAAGCACAAGCTCAATGTTACCAAACAAAGCTGCGGTTAAGAGTCATCAAATTGGGTTAATAAACTTTTGATCATGAATTTTTAAGGTACGTAAATTTGATGATGAATAAAATAGGTAAACTTTTTTTCAAAATGAGAAAAAATATGAAAATTTTGTGTTAATAATTCATTAACATAACTTATAGTCGATTATTTTGAGTTGTATATGTTTTACATAAAAGAGTTTTTTTTCCAAATAATCAATCACAAGCCAAAATAATTGATTATTTTGCATGTTCTTAAAGTGAAATTGTGCAAATAATTAACTATACTTTGAAAATAATCCACTAATTTGTTTCGGATGAAAATCCAATAAATGATGAACACATAATCAATTATATCATAAGGGTAATTGATTATGGCTTCAAAATGGTCAATTATGAACGCTATTTTTATAAATCATAAATTTTGAATCTAATTAGAGAATAATACTAACTACATTTAATAAATTGCACCTAAGTTTTGTTTTTTTTTTAAATATTATTCTCAACTCTTAGGGATTTATTTATTTATTTATTTATATATATATATATATATATATATATATATATATATATATATATATATATATATATAGTTAATCACATATACACTGTCAATGTAAAGGCAACCAATTATATCTTTTAATTGTGTCATGTCACTGTAAACACATTTACTTTTAACAGTAACACGACACAATTAAAAGATATAATTGGTTGCCTTTACATTGACAGTGTATATGTGATTAACTATATATATATATATAGTTAATCACATATACACTGTCAATGTAAAGGCAACCAATTATATCTTTTAATTGTGTCATGTCACTGTAAACACATTTACTTTTAACAGTAACACGACACAATTAAAAGATATAATTGGTTGCCTTTACATTGACAGTGTATATGTGATTAACTATATATATATATATAGTTAATCACATATACACTGTCAATGTAAAGGCAACCAATTATATCTTTTAATTGTGTCATGTCACTGTAAACACATTTACTTTTAACAGTAACACGACACAATTAAAAGATATAATTGGTTGCCTTTACATTGACAGTGTATATGTGATTAACTATATATATATATATATGAAGTAAGGATAAAAAAATTTACCTCAGGATTATTTACTTACAAGTTGGGTCTTGATTTTTTTGAAAAGTTATTGAGTTTTTTTTAATGGGTCATCTTCAACCCTTTTCCTCTAATGGAGAAATCCTTCTTGAAGAAACTAGAACAGGAACCAACAGTCTTTAGCAGTTGTGTTCTTGTATTGAAACTCCTTCACTATCTTCACCGATATGAAAAGGAGAAAGGTTTACTATGACGCACACATTCACTTACGTCTTCATTAATTTTGTGAAAACCCTAAAAGTAGGTGAGTTCACTCTTATTGCTTTGTGCCTCATTTTGAACTTCATCTTGACTCACCTAAATTATTTATTTCTTATTTTCATAATAAATTCTTGTCTTCTATCTTTGTTATGTTTCAATCGAGAAAATACGTGACTTTGAAGTTCTTGTGTCTATTACCATTACGAATGATGTCAAAAGAGATTCTATGCCATCTAATCTTCCATGTTCATGTATAGCAAGAAGAATCCCCTTTGACCCCATTTGTAATGGTAATAGATACAAAAGATCCCCAAAGTTACATATTTCCTTGATTCAAATATAACAAACATGGACAAATCAAGATGATGGAGGATTGCTTGAGAAGATGAATTGATTTAGTCTTTTAAGCTTTCCTTCTCCTAGATCCAAGTATCACCTTCACTCCTTCTCTTTCTACATTACTACTAGAGGTGGATGAAGAGGAAATAACCTCTTTTTGGCTATTATAAGTGTATGTGCCCCTCATAAACATGGTCTTCTTAATAGGACATGAGAAACAATGTGGCTTCTCTTAAGACACTTAAAGCACTTTTATATTGCTAGTTTAGGAACTAAGGGCTTCTTCCTTATGTGAAGACTTATACCTTTCTTTTTCTATGGATGGTTCTCTTTTAGGGTGATTCTTAGAAAAGTATTCTTCCTTCTTTAGGTTCTTAGGGTGTAAAAAGGTAAATGATTCCTTCTTGTGAGAAGCCTTCCTCTTAATTTATTGATCTACCCTAATGCAAAGTTGAACTAGTTCATTTAAATCTCTATAAGATAAAAGTTCAACCCTAATTCCAACCTTATTTCTAATTTCAAGATTAAGTCCACTTTGGAGCCAAGCAATGGTGGTTCTTTCTCCTTCCTTAATTTTAGCCCTCATCATAAGTAACTTCATTTATTTCCTATATTCCTCCACACTTAGGTTTCTTTGTTGAAGTCTTTAAAGTTTATCCATCAACTCCCTTTCATAATAGGAGGCTTTTAAGGAATTTTGGAGTTCATTCCAATATTGTATGGAGGGTTTATGGTGAATTATTCTTTCTTTCTTAAAATAAGTCCACTAATACATGACATTTCTTTGAAAGCTTAAGGTAGCCATGGGAATCTTTTTCTCTTCACTCACTTTGTGACAAGTGAAGAGTTGTTCCACCTTCATTTCCCAATCTAGGTTATCTATGTTCATGCTTAGACCTTTATTGCCTAAGGGGTCTTTGATAGTAATCATCATGATAAAGACTACCATAGGACCTTTCACTTGGGTGACTAGGAAAACATTGTTGACTCCTAGGCCATGAGGGCCCTTCATTGTTCAACACTAGTTTTCTAAGTAACTCCCTAAGAGATCCATTTTTTTATATTTATTTTCACTTCTCTCTTTTTGATCCACTCCTTTAATTCCCTTATTTATTTTCTAATACTAGTTATACTACTATTGGAATTATGATCATGCACACTAGAATGATGAGAATGATCACTCATGTTTGTTCTAAAATTTTCACAAAGCTTTTGAAAAAGGTTTTCACAAAATTGAGTGATAAAATTTTTTCACAAAAATTTTCAAATATGTGTGTGCATGTACCCCTAATAGTAATAGGTAACAAGGAACCTTCTAAACATTTATAATTATCTAAAACATCCATAAGAACACAAATAGGAAGTAAACTAATGTATAGAACAAATAAAGAAAAATGCAAGTTGTATGAATGCAACCTAGTGGAAGCTTGAGATGACACCACAAGAAGGTCTCTCAAGCCACTTCCACAAGTACTAAAATGAATGACTTATGTTAAAACTATATGTGTTTCTAATGGAAATCTAAGTGACACTTGGAGTCCCTTATGACACTTTCACAAGCACTAACGGTTAAATGAACTATTACAACCAATTGGAAGTTTTGAGAGATACTAGGAACCTCCCAAAGACCACTTCCAAAGTAATGACCAAGATTAGCAAGAAAAGAAAACAAAGAAATTTAAACAACAAAAACAACAATTCTACCATCGTTAGTGACATAATTAGAGACATATTTTGAAACGGATTTTGTAATGGAAAAACTTTGTGACAAAAAATTCCATCTCTAGATTTGTTACTAAATCTTCCTTTTCAATTAAACTCCTACACAAATCAGAAATGAAAGGTTAGTATCTCCAATGTTTCACCCCACTTTTGAGGTGCTATAATATCTCTTGTAACCAAGCAATCCAAGTATGCAAGAACTGTAGGTACTCAACCACCAAGTAAAGCAACCCTATGTGAAGTCCTTGACAAGTTTACCAACACTTGAAAGTGTTCCGGTATGCCTAAAAGCCCGACATCGCTTAGGAGTCGAGGCTAAGGATAGTTTATAAATACCCTCCCTCCTTAACCGACCGAGGTGCCTTTTAAGGACAAAATCGTGATGGCCTAACGAGTGCCAAAGTGGACAATACCTCGGATGTGGTGACCCTAACGATGACAACAGACTTACGGTATAAACATTTGGTGCTAGAAGGAGGGCCTAGGCCACTGTTGTCCCTTAGCATCGACTGGGGGGTTTGTTCTGGTGCCTAAAAGTCTCACATCACTTAGGAGTCAAGGCTAAGGGTAGTTTATAAACACCCTCCTTCCTTAATCCACCGAGGCACCTTTTAAGGACAAAATCGTGACGGCCCAACGAGTATCAAAGCGGACAATACCTCAAATTTGGTGACCCTAAACCCTTTAAGCCTAGTTCACTCCTCTTGATTCCTTTTGGATTTGGCCTTTGGGCTTGATGTTATCACAAGATGGGGTTCAAAATGGGCTATAGAGCAAGAAAAATGAACTCACATGTTTTTGAATCTTCACCTTTTTCTAATCGAATAAGATATTGAAGAAGTTATGCTAAAAGCACACACACTAGTGCTTATAGTTGTCGGGTCAAGTTTAGGTGTTTAGATTTCTTCAAGAAGGATTTCTTTGTTAAAGTATAAGGGTTGATTAGAGGAAAAAAAATTGACCAAATAATTCGTAAAAGAATATGATCAGATAAATAATTTGTGATAATTTTTTTATCCTTACGCAATAATAGTATAAACTTAAAAATATATATTAATTTTTGCACATGAACACTTGAAAGTTAAAAAAAAATATTTAAGAATTATCCTCTATAATTAATATAATATAAGTGAACAAATAATTACATCCTATTGATCTAACTTAAAAAAAACACTAAACACATGTTAATCAAAACATTGATTAAAAAAATGTATAATCAAAATCCTAATCGACATGAGCATCACAATGTTCCTTTAAGGAGCCACCATCACTCCATCATCTTAGATGAGCCACCACACTCATCAACTTCGAAAAATATCAAAGTAGAGTTGTCAACTTTATACATGTCACCAACACTCCACCGCATATCAATTGGACAATATTTTCTTTTTGTAATATTATATTTATACTTACTATAAAAGAGATATATTTTAGTAACCACTTCTTTGGTCTCCACTTTTTAGTGGACTATTATACCTCTTAAAATATAAAAAAAAAAATTATATTCTTTTTAAATAACTATCTGTAACTTTTAATATTCGTCTGTATATAATTATTAGAGGCATGAAGTGCCTCGACCCTCTAGGATCAATAATAAAGTTTTCAAGTTAATAAATAACATTTTACACAATATTATATTATATTATATATCTTATTTTTATTTCCTTCTTTAATTTTGTGACTTGTTTATTACATGTAATATTATTATGTTAACAAGACATTAACTTGTTTCATTCCACAAATTTATTGATCGAGTCATATTTGAGTTTAAATAAATTTATTAAATTTTGGAATTGAATAAGAATTAAGAAAAACTCTTATAAACTTGTCCTTTGAATACTCGTTGTTTAACATGCATAAAGTGATATGATATTACACAATTTAATAGTTAAATTCATGAAATTCATATCTTAATAAAAACTGAATTATGGAAATAACTAGATATCTTCTCTGAAGATATGTTTGGTTTAGAGAAGAAATTGAAAGGAAAAAAAATTGAAAAAATGAGAGGATTTTATAAGTAGGATACATTTTAGTAATTATCCTTTTGATCTCCAATTTTATAACTAGACATTTTACACGTATAGATGCTATATCATCTTATAATTTTTACCTATTATAAATAAGATACATTTTAGTAATTATCCTTTTGATCTCCAATTTTTTAATAGACCTTTATATATACCCTTGAATGTGAAAAAAAAATTCTTATATCTTCTACAATTTATGTATATAAGTGTCTTGACCCCTTTAATATCTTATTATCGTATTATAATTCGGTTATTGGGATAATTACCTTTTTTTTTCCTTCAATTTCTTGATTACACATTTTTATTTCTAAATTTATTTTACTCATTCTCCATAATTTAAAAAATTCACTTAATACGATTATCTATTTTAAAATCTTAATATTTTTCATACAACCATTTTCTTGCAAAAAAAAAAAAATACACGAAGTATTATTTTCTCGTACTAGTATTTTGTAAAAACAAAAAACAAAAATAAACATATTTAGTATGTTGAAAATATAACAAATTAGAATACGAGAAAAAAAATGATATACAATCTAATTACATGATAATTTTATCCACTTAATATGGAATCTCTGTAAATATTACATCATTGTTAATTATTAATAGTTAGGTACATAAAATCTTTTAAATCGATAATATATTTATTAAACACTAATAATATAGTGCTACTACTATAAAATAATTAAAATTATTCTTATAATTTTACTTATTACCTATATATAAGACATAAATACTTATTTTGTCAAGATTAAAAAAATATTTAACTTAGTTGATAATAATAATTTTATTATATTTTTATAAATTTTTTTAAAATTTATTTTTATTATTTTTCTCTTTTAATTAATATTTATATATTTTTTTTAATCAATTAAAGCACATGTTCTATATTATTTCTTTCTTAAAATTAATATTACTTACTTTCTTAACTAGTTAAAATGCATATTTTAAAAAAAAAAAAAATATTTAATATGTTTCATTAAATTAAAATATATTTTAATTATATATATTTTTAATTTAAAAATAATTAATATATTATACATTATTCCATTCATTTTTTATTTATAATTATTTTGACATTTTTTTTATTGTTATTTTTTTAAAATTAATAATTTATTAATTTTTTTATTTTTATTCTTGATAATTAATGTATATTTATTGAATAATTATTTATTTATTTTTAATATATCTATTTTTTCTTGGATCACTTAAAAGGTATAATAAAAAATAAATAATAAATACTTTAAAGAACTAAAATATTAATTATTTTCTTAATTTTTGTACATAAACATTAAACATAAAAAAAAGGAAAGAAATATAACTTAGATTTTATATATAAAAATAAATAATTATTTTAACTTCAATCTTTTGATAAAAAAAGAAAAACCGTGAGAATTCAATTACATGACAAAATTCAAACTTATCATAATGTCCAGCTCCCACCATCACATTTAATGTTTGATAGTTTTTTATAATTTTTATTTATCAAATTTGTAAGCACATTCTTAAGAAAATAAAATCAATGATTAGCATAACCGTTTTCCCAAATACAAAATTTGGGAGGAGTGCCTCCACAGTTTAAATTGAATTAGGAAATTGGTGGGCTCCAAGGTCGCATATAAATCTGTGTATGATTGTTTAAATCAAGAATAGCGCAAGTGAGATTCCTATAGAAATGAACGAAGAGAAAGTTGGTTCCTTAGGATTGAAAACAAAATAATTGTGAGGCAGTGTCTGTGTTTTTGAAACAAGATCGACCAAGAAACAGAAGGGTTATATATGCTTTTGGGCATTTAAGGCTTTGAATGGTGCGTTGCCTTGTGAATTGTGATGTGAAGGGAAGGGGCGGTTTTAAAAGTTAAAACCTATTCGTTTGTTGCTTTGAACACTTTGGGTCTCAACTCGCCTTTCTCATTTCTGATCCGATTGGGTGATGCTTCGTTCCTCTTCTCTTTTATTCATATCGTTCTTCTACTTTTTTTACTGTTTGCTATTTCTTTCCTAATGTTAAAGCCGCAAATTACTGTCTACTTTATTGCTATTTCCTATAGAGGTTCTGGAACATTTAATTTAATCTTGGTTTCAATTGCATCTGATTTTTACCTTATTGGCATTAACTCTGCAGTCTGCCCTAACCTTGGTTCTTGATTTTTATTCTTTCTAGATTGTTATTTATTGCAAGAAGGATGTTGAAATTGGAATGATCCATAGGCTGTCTTAAATATAGGGGAAACCCATAAACAAGAATCATGGAACTTCCATTCCTAATTATTTAAGAAGACATGTTTTCTTCTGCTTTGGAAGATTTTGATTGATGGATCAGCAAAAACCTGATTCAAGATTTGATTATTATAAATCCCTTTCATAGACTTAAGTGGAGATTGGGTTAGAATTTTATTTCAAGCTTTGAGAAAGGTTTTATTGCCCTGGTTTGCAGTCACTTGTTTCGATGGAAACGAGAAGAGCAGGGAGAACTTGTGTCATGCATTCTTTAAAGTGATTACAAAACTATAAGATTCTTTCTTTCTTTGCATTGTTAAATTATCATATCATCTTTGGTGAATTCAATGTTATTGCTTTTATATGATATGCCCTCTGCATGGTCTTTTTCTCGCAAGGATGAGAACATGCCTGTTTTACCTATGTGGGGCAATGGCGTATTATAATTCCTAATTTGGTGCTACTTAACTTTTATTTATCAAAATGATGCAAGTTTTGGGAAGTTGTGAGTATTTTTTTTTTTTAAATTAAAAATGTCGTTTAATAATCATGAATTAATACAAGTTTAGTTTTTCAATATTAGTTTCATTTAGTCATTTGCCTATTCCCCACGTGTCAAACCAATGTTCAAATTCTCACTGAGACATGCCCAATTCATTTATTCTATATAATAAATTAGTGATATCGTGTATTATCAATAAGACCGAGGTTTTAAATTGTGGATGTGGTTATAGTCACAGATTCATTGTGATCCTTGTTATTGGGATAAATTGCGGACAAATGCAACTGTATTTGTGGTCGCAAATACCCCAAAACCTTAACGTTATGGCCAAGAATCATGATTACGGCCACAACTTCATTATGGATGTATTTGGTCCTACTTTTGTTGGTTTGGGGCTTGAATTTGACCATTCACATATGGAAACTGTGTTGATTTCTATAAAGTTATTTCCATTGTTCACTTCCTTCCTATTTGTCAAGCAGAGTGGAGAAGTGGATTAATGTTGTGTGTAAGCTTTTGTGAGAAGGTGGATGAGCTTGAACATCTGTTATTTATGGAGGAGAGATCCTGTTTAGTTCTTAAAAATGCTCGGGCATTTCACATTTAAGGGGTACAATTTTTTTTGTTATAAAGGGAAAAAAATATCAGGATATAGTGTGCTGTTAGTAATTTTTGCTAGGTGGCTTTGTCTTGTATCAGGACTGTCAATTATATAGATTGTAGATTTGAATTACTTGGGGAATGGTGTATTATAATTCCTAATTTGCTATCAATTGATCATGTGTTTTAGACTTTTAGAATTGACTTGATTTTTTATCCATGTTTGGATGGGATAATCTGTCATACCATAAGTTTCTAAGTTTAAAATTCTAGGAGAAATTAATGAGACTCTTAGATACAAGATACGAGTGGGAGGGTTAAAATAGAGAAAACGATAAAGAGTTATTAGTGATTAAAAAGTACCTATTGATCTAAAAAAAAAAAATTTATTGCACAGTTGTATGTTCAACTATTCTCTATGATAGTGAATGTTGAGTTTTAAAGGAACAAGAGAAAAATGTGAGAGTCGAAGGAAGAATCTTAAGATTATTGGGAATGGCTGACAACCTGAATAACAAGTTGGTTTTGTAGGGTTGAATTAGACTCAAACCTACCTTTTCAAATGGTATCATAGTCTGTCTTCCCAAGTTATTGAGTCTATTGGACCACCCACTATTGATTCATTATCTGAGCATCTACAAATGTTCAGTCCTATAAATATCACACTTGAGAACTAGTCCCCGAAAAGAGAGGTATGTGTTAGAGATTTAACATTAACTAGTGAATTGTCATAATAGTGAATATAAAATAAAGACAATCCTCACCTTACAAGCTGATTTTATAAAGTTAAATTAGACTCATAACTTACTTTCTTAAGATGGTATTAGAGCTATCATAGATTCCCTAAAAAAGGTCATCCACCATTTATACACGCATCAAACCAAATAGTGTTGGGTGTATTGGGACATATGAAACAACCCTCACCTTATAAGTCAGTTGAGTTAGGCCCAAACCACCTTCTAAGAATGATGGACATGTGTGGTCACATAAGAAAGGGCAAGATATGAAATGATTGTGTATGAGAAGATATTGGTGTAAACTTGGATGAGGAAAATGACAGAAAATTGTTTATGGTGATTTGGACATGTACAAAGAAGGCCATTTGAAGTATCAATGAGGAGATTACATGGTTTTCAATCTTGTGAAAAGAGGGAGAGGGAGACCAAAAAGGACACTAGAGGAAGTTGTCATGAGGAATTTCATTGAGAATAATTTCCTGTGCATTTGGTTCTTAACCAAGCCCAATGGCGTTGTGTGATTCATGTAACCGACCTCAATTAAAGGGACAACTTTTTTTATTGTTGGATGGAAGGTAAGAAGTGCAAATGGGGAGGGGAAATGTGACTTAAACCCTTATTTGGAAGACTTTGAAAGATTTAAACCCTTAATATAATTTTTACAAGGGGATATAATGCTTGTTCCCTCTACATTTATAGGAAGTAAGTTTTCCTCCTTTCATTAAACATGTAAACAAGGCAAGTAACTCACCCTCCACCCCTTTTCCTTCCTCTTTCTCTCTATTATCTCCACCTAAAAGCTTTTAGACATAGCATATAAGTTGTATTTGTATTCTTTAATCTGGGTAGCCTTTTGCCGTCAGTACTCCAGTTATATGGATTGAATAGGAGGTTTTCTGTGTGGATTGTAAATATTTATACCCATCATATGGTTATTGTACATTCCGTTTCCTTGCTTTAAAAGAATCTATTTGTCTAAGTTAATTTATTATTCACAGATTTTGAATTGGCCTGGTTATGCTATCTAATTTTAGAATTACAAAGATGAAAATGGTTGTACTAATTGTGTATGGAACAATGGGATTTAACCACAAGCATGGATTATTTCTTTTGGAAACAGGTAGAAAAAATATCTGATAACATCAATTAAGATTTGAGGTTTTTGGAATGGTTTTGATACGAATTTGATGATTGACAGATGGGAAAAGAATTGGCTTCCTTTTCCTAGATTTCTTCATCTCTCTAATTTGCAGGATGCTCCAATTATTTAGATTTATTCTTCATCTGAATCTTTTGTGGAATGTTCACTCTTTTAGAAGTTTGCATGTAGGGAATTCTCTCAACTACAGACTCTTTTTGTCTTACTGAATTCAACTCATATCTCTTTAAATCCAGACCAGAAGATTTAATCTCTTGATACCTCGGGTTTATTTTCAAGCAAATCTTACCTTTATATTCTCACTTCATCTTGTAGCAATGATTTTTTCCTTCTAGATAAGTCAACTTGGAAATCAATCGCTCTCTCAAAGGTCAAATCTTTTGTTTGGCCTGCTTTTCTAAAACAGATTAATATGAAAGATTTATTTCAGTTTTGAAGACCTCTAACTGCTTTGTTTCCTCATCATTGTGACATGTGCAAATCAAGTTATGAAAATGCGTCTCATTTGTTTCTGCATTGCTCAGTGGTTTCCCTTCTCTAGAAATTCTCATGTTTTAATTTTATAAGTTTTGAACCAATAGATAGAGATGGTAAAAGGCTTTGACATTATTCTTGATTTGGGGTTGTTTGGTGTACATGGTTGAAAAGAAATATTATCATTTTTATTAGTCAAGTGTTGCCTCTCGAGTTCATTTGGGATTCAGCAGTTCACTTAGCTTAGTTGTGGTTTTCTGATAAAGTCTTTTCCTTGGTACAGCTAAAGAAAGATCACAATTTCGTGCTACATGTATCATGTTCTTAGTTTTTTATTCCTTTCAATTGTTTGTATAGTTTTTTGAGGTTTTTGTATTCTCTTGCATTTTTCCCTTGTTAATAAGTTCTCTGTTAGTCTGTTTATATTAAAAAAAAAGGAGTTAGGAATAAAGAACTATCATGGGATTATGCCACTAGTAAAAATAAATGGTTTGCCCTACTAACACTTGTTTCTTATCTTTTTTTTTTTTTTTCCCTTCTTTTGTTTATGATTTTTAAATCAGGTGGCCATTAGTGGGATGACTGGATGAGATTGATGGACATGCTTCACCAGTTCAATAATCTTTAATCCAAAACATGGAAACACTGTTTTCTTGACTCTTTTATATTTGGGGCTCTGTAGCATATACAACATTTTTCTGAATTGGATCCAGGTGATAATGTTAATACAAACTTCTCTCCTTAGTTCAGTAGAAGCTGGTCTATGTTATGTATCTGATGATGGGAAAGATGTTCTATGTGACCGGATGCCTAGTGGTGAAACTTGGCAGGTGTGTCTGAATTGCAATAAGTACCCTCTTGATCGGTGTAGAAAAGCTGAACCAGTGGAAGAAGATAGAAGGAATGGTGATGATCCTTATAGCTCAAACTGTCTAATTAGCTTTGGTCGGCTGTCAACTGCTAGTATAATGACAGAAAACACTGCACCTAATATGGTATACAGTAGAAAGAGGCTTCGTAAGGACTCAGATTTCAAGCAAGGACCAACTAACGGCCAAGCAAGTGCAAACTGCCCTTCAGTCATAAGTTCCGCTGCTCATGTATCATCAGCAAAGGATCAGCCTGCTGGTTTTCAAGTTACGAGTGAAATTGAAATGGTTAAAGATCCTACCGTGTCTTCAGTCTTATTTGATGGAGTAGCCAAAGATAGCAAACATAAAATCGTAGGTATTGACAGTGTAAATGATAGTTGCTCCTCTTCAAAGCCAAATATGGAAACTGAAATGGATGAAACTGGTGAATGCTCCTCTTCCAGTGTTTCTGTCATGGATGCCACAAGGGAAGAAGTAACAGAAAAGGATTTCTGCATTAATATTTTAAGAAGCCATGGACTTCTTAGAGAAGATTTTCTTGTAGATAATGTGGCTTCTGGGGAAGATGGTGTCACCACTGGTAATAGCTGCTGTTCCAGGTCATGCAAAATATGTGGCCATTTAGACAGTTCATTGAACATGCTTTTATGTGATCATTGTGAAGATGCATATCATCCGTCTTGCTACAATTCACGATTGAAAAAATTACCAATTGATGAGTGGTTTTGTCATTCATGTCTTAAAAAAAGGCAGAAAATTCTCAAGGACGAGACAATTATCAGATCACCAGGCATCCACAATGAATTTGGCAAATGCAGAACTGCCTCAGTTAAGGCTGAATTAAATCCCATACTGTTGATGCTGAGAGACACTAAGCCATATACAACTAGTGTGCGGGTTGGTAAAGGTTTTCAAGCAGAAGTTCTTGACTGGTCAGGCCCCATAAAAAGGTATCTTAATGATTTAATCACAAGTGTTTGGAACTAAAGTTTCTGTAGCATCCATCAGTTGTACTGGTGGTTGTTGCTTTAATTATAAGCTTTTACTAAGTTTACTTTATGTGGACAAACCGACAAACTATTCATTGGGGGATTTAGTAGAATAAAGGGGTTCAACCACTTGAAGTTGTAGTGTGGTTTCAGTTATTAGATAGAGGTGTTCGACCATGTGAGTTTGGACATGTGCTTTTGGGGTGGTTTCGTTTAATGGAAAATTTGGAAGGCCCTGGTTGTCTCCATTTTTTTGATTTCCCAAAGTTGGGGTTTTTCATACTGTCCTCTCACTTTGAATGGTATAGAACTAGGATGGAAGGTCTATAGTGACAAAACTTCTTGGTTGAATGAAAATGGCATTTGTAACCTTTTTGATCTTGTGTACCATAAGAAGATGCATTCGTAGATTTAGGGTCCAAGATAAAGGGGAATGGATGTTAGGATCCTAGTGTTTTAATAAAATGGTAGGGTGTGTGGCACTGAATTTGCGTGCTTTTGAAGACATTCTATTGATTAAGTGGGCTGTAAAAAGGAGATCTTCTCCCTAGAATTGGAATGGTACATTAGGAGCCAACATAAGTGACCTCTAACCAAGGTTGTCAAACATGAGAGTACATAAACTTGACTTGTAGACTTGTAAGAGTTTACCAAATCAAATATATTTAAAACAGTTAGGTATGGTAAGATTCTGAAAGAATATTCTTTGAATACTAAACTTACGTATTGAATTTGGATTCTTATATCCATAATTAAATAGAATATACAATGCATTAAACACAGTTCATCACAATATACATGTCTTCATCCCCCTTTCAAGACTTCCAAAAATCCCACTAAAAATTGAAAGTTTGAAAAGTCTAATCATTTGTGAATACCAAATGTTTTGGTTACATCTAAAGATATATTTTGAGTGAGCCTCTCTTATTTTTTGTGGGTTTTGTTGCCCACTTCATAATGTGCCCAATTAATATTTAATTTTGGTTTGTTTAAATTGGACTTTTGGATCTCCTATATTATCCAATTCACAATTTTGATCTTCCAATTTTTAACTCAGAAATTTTAGTCCTTCAATTTTCTTAAATTTGAAATCTTGGTCCAACTGATAAATGTTCATCTGTTACCTGTTTTTAATCATGACTTGACATTAAGTAAATCACATGACAATTAATATTTAATAATACCCAAGATAAATTGCAGTTTTGGTTCTGATTTTTAACCTGCTATTTTTTATATATATTTTTTCCCCACTTTTATAGGATAAAAATAGGGATTAAAAATGCAGTTTAACCTAAATATTGTTAAATATTAATTACATGGTTATTAACTTAATATTGGTTCATTGTTATCATTACTATTTTAATGGTCATCAGATGAATATGTAATGGTTGGACCAAAATTGTGGATTTTACAAAATCAGGAAACTAAAATTGAGCAACAAAATTGTGGTTCGGATATTATAGGAGATTGAAAATGCAATTTATCCTTTTGGTTTCAACTTTCAATTTAAATAAGTGATTGGTGGGGACATAGAGTATCTTGTTCTCTAGGCAAAGGCTGGAGGTACCAACTATGCTAGGATCATATTCATAAAGACTGATTTTCGTATTCATTGATTAATACAAAACTATCAGGAAAAAAAGGCAGTGTTCCAATTATAAGAAAACTAAATAAGTGTATAATTATAATAGATGTAGTAGACAGTTAATTTTTTGTATACATTTTTATTTATTTATTTTATCTTTAAGAGATACATTGGTGGGATAAAGATTAAAATATAATGGTGGGTTATAAATGTCTAAAAAAAATAGACATCAAAGAGAGGTATCTCCTTTATATACTGTTATAGATATAGATTATAGATTATAAATATATTGTTATAGATTACAATGAGGGTACAATTAGGCAGAATTGGTTAGAGATTCTCTAGCGAATCTGATTACAAAATAATTTATATTAAAGATAGGAGAAAATCAAATATCAAATCAGATTAGAATCAGATCCAATTATTTTATCCAACTGACACCCCCTCAAGTTAGTGCAAATATATTTAACATGCGCAACTTGTTTACAAGAAATTTAAAGTTGGGTATAAACAACCCTTTATGTTTGTCAACTATGGAGAGGTTGGAACAAAGAGATTGCAAAATAACACCTTGATCAACTTTCTCCATTAAACTGTATCAATTTTATCATGCTTGGTTTTGGTCATGTTGTATAGGGTTTTGAACAATATTTGTAGCAGCCTTATTATCATTTTCAGCCACAAAAGCTCCCGTACTCCTTGTTCCACGGGGACCATGGCTCTATACAGCTTCAACACTACCCCTGGAAACTGCACTTTGTTTTTTGCTTATCCAAATAGTTAAAAATAAGTTTTTGGAGAAACTAATACGAGAGGTGTTATATAATTTAGCTTATGTATATGCTATAATTTTAGCTTATATAATTTAGCTTATGTTTATCCAAAGAAGCCTTTAGAAGTTTATCCAAACAAAACTTTAGTAAGCTTCATCTCGAGGGGTGTTAGTAAATCTAAGAAACATGATAATATTTTTTTGGGTAAAATATATTTTTAATTCCTCAATATTTCATAATGTTGATTTTAGTCCCACTAAAAATTTAATGTTTTTAGTCCCTATATTTATCAAAAGTGATGTGATTTTGGTCCTTCAATAGGGACTAAAAATGTGTTTTTGGATAAATGTAGGGACTAAAAACATTTTTTGTTTTTTTTTTTTGTATCTTAGACTATTTTAGAGAATCCCAGATTGTCTGTTAGGATTTATTTCCTTATTTAACTAGGATCTTTGTAATTATAGGTCTATTGTATCATGTAAATAGGAATATTATCTCCTATACTTATTTGTATTTATTGCATCAAGTCTATGTAAAACGAACTCCATTGTTTAGTTAAGACATATGGTTTCAACATCTCTTGCATGTGTTTTTTCTCTCTTTCAATAACAAAGAATAAAGGAACTTGAGCCTTTTCTTTGCTTTTTTAAGCAAGTCTTTTGATAGAATAATACACAGTTAACATAAGAACAGCTGATGAGATTTCTTTGGTTGGGTGAAGTGAGGTTCTCTTATTGTGCGTATTTAAGCATTGTTCATTAGGAGTCTATTTTTTAGCCATATTTTGGTCGTTATTAAATCACTACCAACATTGTTTTGTTGTTTCTTGCAGTGATGAAGATGTACTTCCTGAACCATCGGAAATTAAAGATTCAGAATTTTATAGACTGCCGGTAAGATTCTTTTAATTTACTTTATGACCTGCATTTTGATTTGAGTCTCTGAGTGATGGAAAATGCTTTTCTGTTCTGCAGGGAGAGAATATGAGAAGTCCGATTAGACTTAGCTCTGTTGGTAATTGGATTCAATGTCAGGAGGTTATAGATAGAGAAAACGGAACTGTATGTGGAAAATGGCGCAGGTAAGTCTCATGGCATTGTTGTTTTGAATGTTTTCATGAGTTATTATTTTGAGGGATGGTCTTCTTATTTAAGATTTTATTCATGAAACAAGAAAAAAAAATATATATTGTAGAATGGTGCAATTCAAACTTAATGAGAGTTTGTTGCTCAGGGGTTTTAAGTTATTATTTTGTTGGATAGTCTTTATATTTGAGATAACTTTAAGACTTATTGTTGAGTAGGCTATGTATGTAGTAGTTACATTTACATAAAGCCTGAGGAATAATACTTCTTGCCTTGTAGAATTCTAAGAAACTAAGAGAGAAAACTACTGAGAACTTTTACTTGTATTTCATATTTTGATCTCATAAACAAATGAACCAGTTTATACAGATTATAAAAGAAGAGTTATAGAGGAAGAAACAAAGTAACAAACTAATGTTGAGCTAGTAAAAACCAAACAGCTTAGGAAGACATGATAAACAGTGCAAGCAAACAATGCTGATGTGGCAGAGTGCCAATCAGCTTGCAACATAAAAGAGAAGAACTCTATTACTCCCCTACAAACTCAGGATTGTGAGGAACTCAAGCCTGAGTATACCTCTTAGAAAACAAAACTGAGTCCTGGCAAGACTGCAAGAGGCCTGGTGAGGATGTCAACAACAACTTCATATTCAGCAAGTAAAGCTTCAAGAAGAGCATCTTTAACAGAAACAGTTTCACCTATAAAGAAATCAGAAATCGATTTAATTATTGTGGGAACCTTTGAAATTGATTGATCGCCTTTCTTCTTGTGACGAAGCTCAGATCAAAAGTGTTGAGCTTACGCCTTGGTCTTGGAATAAAAATGGTGATGACATCCAATAACTTTGGGTAAAACGGAGGATGATAGCGATGATTGAAGCCATGTTAGAAGTAGCTGGTCTTGTAATTCCGAAGCTGTGAATGCCAGACTTTCAATATCAGTCATGCGATCCGCTCTATGCAATCAATGCATACGAATAACTGATTCGCTTGCTGGAGTCAAACAAGATAATTATCATAAGATAATTTCTCAATGATTGGATATGAAAAGGAAGAAAGCACTGGAGAAGACGAAAATTGTATATTCATTGGTGAAAAAGAGGAATTCAGTGGCAGAGGACGCATATTAGGATCAAAGGCCATGTGAGATGGTACAAGCTCTGGATACCATGTACAATTCTAAGAAACTAAGAAAGAGAAAAATTTTGAGAACTTTTACTTGTATTTCATATTCTGATCTCATAAATAAAGAGACCAGTTAATATAGAGTACAAAGGAAGATACAAAGTAACTAACAAACTATTGTGAACTGGCAAAAACCAAACAGCTTACAGAGACATAACAAACAGTGCAAGCAAACAATACTAATGTAGCAGGGCACCATCAGCTTACAACATAAAAGAGAATAACTGTCATACCTGATGATCAATTCATCCCTTTAACTGAAAGGTTGAATTGATGCCATATTTAATTAGGTAAAGCCAATTAGTTTTGCAGAGGAGACTATAAGAGTCATTTAGTGTACAGTTAAAGATAAAGTGCCTGAACCAGATGGTTTTATTGCTGCCAAATGCTGCTGATTATTTGGGACATACAGTAAAACAATACAGTTCTTTCCCATTTATTTTCCTTAGTTTTGGTACCTTGCACATCATCACACACCTTTTCTACTTATTTCCTTTTGTTGAATTTTCGGCTTTCTTTCAGATACAGGAGGGAGAAATGAGTAGTGAGAAAGAGTCTTTTGTTGATTGTGCTTAAATTGGATTAATCTAGCAAATATTTTTGTTTGCCAGGGCCCCTCTTTTTCAAGAGGAAACTGATAAGTGGGAGTGCTTTTGTGCTGTTCATTGGGATCCATCCCATGCTGATTGTGCCGTACCTCAGGTGAAACATATTTAACTCAACAAAGCTTCTTTAGCATAAAATATTATGTTCAAGAAGTATTTCATTGAAACTGATTTATGATTAGATAATTTTTTAAACCTTGATTGAATATAGCCAGATCTATATGTTCTTGCAAATACAATAATACAATATTGTTGTGTTTGTTAGAGTGCATGAGTATAACTTAGATACAAGTATTCAGAACATGGGACACGACATTACATATGGGAAAAACATACGACACAGCACAACTGTATATTAGTGAGAATTTAATCAAGCCATATATATTAAACATGAATGACTATATTGTATGTGAGTTGTTTTTTTGGATTTTTCTTTGACCAAAGAGTTTTAAGAATTTTTTTAACTTCCTATCTAATTCAATTTTTATTTATTATAATTATTTATGAATTAAATTTTAAAATTTTAAATAAATTATTAATAAATAAAAATTTGTGCTACAATAAAAATTATTTATCATAAATCTAAAATAAAGTTTGTGTATTTAAAAATATGTTTATACAAATTACTTATATATTAAACACTTTATTTATATATATAATTTATTATAATTTTTTTATTCAAAGGAGAATTTATTATAAATTTTGTTATGTATAATAAATATTTAACTTGTACATTGCTCATGCTAAAATACTAGTTTTATATAAAACATGATATTTATATGTGAAGTATGAAACATCTAGGATTTATCTGACATGTTCAAATATATGAAAATTTATTTAAAATATTTGATAGTGAAATTCAATTTAAAATGTAGAAGTGATGTAGTGAATATTTAGTATTGTGCCTTGCATGTATTGGATACGAAGATGAATATAGATATGGATTTGGACAAGGTCTTTTGCTCATTGTATGTCTATCATAAATTAGAGCAATCCTGATATCTAGAAGAGATGTCCTTACTGAACATCACCACCAAGCATCCCTATATGCCCTATGCATCATGACAAAAAATTTAGTGTACTATTATTATTGTGTCTTGGGCAAGATAGTAATTACTTGTAGGGAACCCAGTGTATGTATCCGTTATTCAAAGTCTTATTAGCGAATATATTTTCTTGTCTTTCCTCTCTCACATTTCCCTTTTGCCATTTCATTACAAAAAAATATTAAAGTACTTGTCTGTAAATTCAAACATTTCTGGGAAATATTGCTTCTCTTAAATTATGCAAACTAGTTATTATGTAACTGCATTAGACTCTAGCCAGGCCTTCCACATGGGCTTTCATGTATAATTTGTGCATACTGGGTCTAGGTCTTGCATATTTTCCCTTTTTGCATATTTAACACTATCTTGTTAATTCCTGTAGTTTAATGTTTTCACTTAATTTTAGGCATTTCCCGTTTATTTTCTGCAGGAGCTTGAAACAGATCAAGTACTGAAGCAACTGAAGTATATAGAAATGGTATGCGTAATTTTTATTGTTGTATTTATGTCAAAGGAATATTTGGTAATTGTTTAGTAGTTTGCGTTTCTTTGGTTTTACTTAATTAACATTAAGCAAATAATTTCTCGAGTTGAATTGGCTCGATTAACAGGGACAAGGACTAAGGCTTTTAGTTAAAAAAAATCTATATTGTCATTCCATGATCATTAGTGCATAATTTACACGGAAAAAAGTACAGTCCACTATCATAAAAGTTAATTTATTTAGTTTTGATCTCACACATGTTATGCTTTTCTATTATTTTAAAAATTTCCACCTTCCCCTAATTATTTTACTTACGGAAGTTTACCTACTTGCATGCCCATACAGCTACGGCCGCGACTTGCTGCTGCTAAACGGAAAAAATCAGATAGCAGAAATAATAGTGTTTGAAGTCCAGTGAGAGGTGTTCGATATTTTGTTCTTGTACATGCTACAATTTGGTTATACAAAACCCAAATTTAGATATTCCATGCCATCCAGGGTAAATGAATTTAGATATTTCCGGGATTTTCTTTTTGTCTTTTAATATTTTTCCCTTTATGTGGAATGCGGTCAATCGTATAGCTTCTATTTGGTAGCGGAAACAGTTCAATGTGCCAATGTACCATTGTATTTTGGGGTTAAGGCCTTAAGGGCCATTTTCGAGTGATGCTCAATTTGATTTTATCGGCATAGAATTACTGCCATCTTCGTTTACTTAAGCTGTCATTTTGGGAGAGACTTAGTGTATGTTTGAAAAAAATGTTAGATTCAACGTAACGCATTTATTTTTTTTCAATTCATGGATATAATTACTGTCATTTGTAGCATTGGAATGCATAAATGTCCGTTTTGTAACTTCTCAACATGAATCCAAACATGCTCTTAATCTGAATTCAAATACTGTGTTTGCTGGTGTTCCATTCCGTCAGTAATACTTCCTGATATTCACATTGTATACAACACTATGCTCGACTTAAATAAAATAGTACTAAAATAATAGCCAAAGTGCGTCAACCGAACTATGCTAAGGAGGCAAAATTTACTTGGAAATCCTCTATAAACCATCTTACAGATTACAAGAGAGCAAAAAGGTCAATTAATAGTTATCAAGTCAATAAAGATATTTTTCACTTGTAACACGGGCCATTAATTTTAGGTCGTGCGAGTCCTTGAATTTATACAACCCGCATCGCATTAAATCAAGACGCCTCAAATTTTTTACAAGTTTAAGCACTAATAGATAAAGATATAAATAGATTAGAGAACTACACAAGTGGAAAATATCTCCAGAAACTTGACTCAAGCATGATATATTGAAGAACTTTTATCTTGTTGATATACATAATATATTTGGTGCTGAGCCTTCGGTCATTGTTAAGGCGCTGCATACTACTTAGAACAAGATACGGGGCGAAAGTAATCAATGAACATAATTCAGTCATCCTAAATAAGCTGCTATCTATAATTAGATTACCAATATAGAGACCGGAAAATCTACAAAGATTAAAGTAATGCATACATGTTTTGATGTCGAGTGCGCCAAAAAAACTGGGAAAGAAAACCGAAGTTTCGCAAATTACTAGCAATTATATCAAATAACTGTTAATCATACCAAAAAAAATAGGGGGTTCACTTTCAGCAAATTTTACCTTGTATCCTTTTCCTTCATCAGGTGAATTCACCTTCGTGATAATAATTAGTCAGATCACTTAGCTATTCTGCATAAAATTAGAAGGCATCATGCAAACTGCGACTATCAACAACGCTTATCAATTATCATGAAAAAAAAACTAAAGGATATATGCTAGATATGGAAAATAAAAACTGGTACTGGAGGGCATTGTTTTACATTGGTAAAATCCAGAACATTTATTTACTTGTCCTCAATCGTCTTTTAAGCGTTTCCTGTTCTATAATGCAATTAACAGAATTGAGATAACCTGTTTAGCGATATGCCAACATGAAACTAATGCCAGATTTATGTACATGTTAGAATGAAAATATCAACATGTTAATTTAATTATAATTACCATTATATAAGATGCTATCAGACATATGAAAGTATACGTGTAAGGGGAGAACATAAGCTCATATTTGAAGTAGTAATTTAGCAACTCTCGGTCCAAGGATGTATTTTATGAGATCTAAACTTCATTGTAATTAGCCAATTTCTAATCCAGCAATTGGCTAATTATGGTTTCTCATACAATTACCAAGCACCTACAAACCCTCAGATTTGACAAGATGTTATAAAACACTACTGGAAATATAAAGCAAAAGATCTTCAAGCCAATAATTTGAAATTTTAAAATTTGGGCAAATTTTATGGTAGGTATTAGCCAAAAAAATGAAGTTTGTGACCACAGATAATCCCTTCAGCTTGTTTCCATGACAGAATTTTTTTGCAGTTAAGTTTGATTGAAATTTGATGAGAAAAAGGTATTGGATACACGACTTTCTTGATTGAAAGCTGAATTGTGTGAAGAAGCCATTGGCTTGGATCAATTACAAGCCCCTGAAATAGCATTCAGAATAAGAAAGAGAGAGAAAGAGAGAGAGTGCAAGTATTTTATTGGACTGAAAGTTCAGAGAAATGGATATATGTCAATATTTAGCAAAGCTATATGACTCATTGCTGAGTCAGCAGGTAACTAACTCATAACAGAAAAAGGCTAATCTGTTACAGAGAAAAGCTAAAATGAAATTACTATGTAAATGAAATGTATATACGAAAACATAAAAAGTATATTTCAAATATAACAACTAAATCTCTATAGAATCAACACCATTTATAAATTATCAAGCATGGCCTTTATACCTTCAACCCGATTCTAGAAACAATTTTAACTTTTTAACCAGACTCAAGACATAAGAAACCATGTCATGGTCAGATTGCAAGTGTGTAGACCATTTTTGGGTAGAATCAAACAGGCTTCGAATGTCGTTGGCAAAAGTACTTTGAGCTTTCTTCCAAAAGGTATGACGAGTTTTGAAGGCTCTAAAATTCATCAAGAAACTTGACTCAACAGATCACCAAAACAAAGCACATAACTTATATCAAGTTTATTCCATTCATTGCAATTTTCATCTGAAATGCCACAAGAGGCTTATCCAGATGCAAAGCAAGCAAAATAATTACTTCTATTTAATTTCTGAGTTTGAGGAAATTGTTGGAATTCAAAAAATATGCAAATATGGACCACCAGATGAGGAGCTACTTGTTGATTCAGAGTCGGATGCCATTTTGTTGTTTTGCACAAAAGCTACAAAGAGAATAACAATGAACACGGAAGTTGATAGAGACCTAACAAAATAGTAGTGGTTCACGAGCCAGATCCCCTAGATAGGACAGGGAGGAGGCGATGACAGTTTTAGACAGGCAACGGTGTTTCAATGCTTGATGGGTGGTGTTGGTGTGTATTTCACGTGCCTGCAAGAGGTGGTGCAAGTGGCAGCAAGTGGGCAGTGCATATATACTTCTTTATCAAAATTTATAAGAATAAGATTATAGATAATAAAATTTATGAAATATTATATTATAACAGAAATTGTATCAAATATTTAAGACTTTTTATGATATTTTTATATATTCATCATGTATATATACTTCATCATTTTCTATATAAAATCTTTTATGTTAATTGTGGCATTGAAGTGTTAAATTTTTTAGATTTAAATATGTTTTTAGTCCTTTAAATTTAAGATAATTTTTTTTTAGTCCTTCAAATTTAAAATTATTATTTTTAGTCCTCATAATTTTTGAAAATCTTATTTTAGTCCCTTAAGTTACTAATAATATACATGCAAGTGACAAATTCAAACAATTATATAAGATCAATCGAGTTTAATGATATGTTTTTACTAACAGAGATACAAGTAAGTAGATTTTGTGTAACAATATTTGACCGATTCTCTAAAAAAAATTAAGTATAAGGATTAAAATAAGATTTTTTGAAATTACAAGGACTAAAAAGATCAGTTTTAAATTTGAGGGACTAAAAATATATTTAAGATAATTTTTGTATAATTTTGACAAATTAAACAATGAAATAATGTATAAAAGTCAAAAAGAATATTAAAGAATTTTTAATATAATTTTTAGAAATTAAATATGGAATAATATATAAGAAGTTAAAAAGATATATAAAAAATTATTATGTAACTATAATAAAAACTTAATATTGTCATTTACATGTATTTTATTTATATCATATCAAACATAAGATATATTATTTGACCTACCTGGCTACCTCAAACATGAGATAGGATAATATCAAACATTGAATAGTATAACAGCTTATCATGCTCTTATCGTATTAAATTCTTATCTAGCTCTTATCGCATATCCTATCATGATCACTAAAGAAACCCAAAATGTTTTCCAGCAAAATTAAGCAGTGGGTGCTCAAAAAGAAGGAACTTTTGGACTAAGGTGGTGATTATTACCAGTGTTATCAAAATCGGACCAGTCATTGACTTGGTCAAGGTACTAGGACAATAGACAAGTGATCTAATCAATGAGTCATTAATTGAACTACATAAACCAATTTACATAACTAAATTTTTGTATGAATGATATAAATCATTTGTGTCACAATTTATACAAGTTATTGATGGGGAAAAACCCAACACAATAACAACTCAACAAACGAGCAAAAATGCAGCGAAAATTAAATCTCCCTACTTACAAGAATCAGGGAGGAGCACCAACAAAATAAAGTAAAAATAGATAATTCAAATGCCCAAAAGCCACAAATATTTTTAACATGGAAACCCTTCAATGTAAAAGTAAAAACCACGAGTCGTCGACCAAAGGAAAACTCCACTGTGATCAACAAAGGATACAAGAACGTCATCAAAAAACGCATCAAACAATGTTTACTATCAGTCAAAGCAAACCAAGCCCAATTGCTTACAAATGACAAATAAGATGAAAAGCCCAAAAAACAGAGTTATTACTGTGAGATGCTTTTCTCCCACTCTAGATCTCCTTTCGATGATCCAACCATTGAAAATGAAGAAACATGTCCTATGAACCTGCCGTCCAAAAATCAGTTTGATCCAACGGTGAACAAACTTTCAGTTGCAAATCAAAAACTGCTACCTTGTGGATATGTAAACTTAACAATGAAACTTTCTCTCTTCTCTTCTCTCTATATTTTGTTGTTATTTTCTTCCAAAATGAGCTACTCTCTCAATCTTAATCTGACCCCTCTCTACTTGGTTAAGTGAGACATAATGGACTTATTCTCCACATAGGAAAGGAGCACAAAACCCATCGGCTATTGCAGTGGCTCAGTGGTTTGCTGTGATGCCCCAAAAGCCTAAAAGTCATGGGATCGATTCCTTGAAGGGACTTTTTTACATTTTATGTCTAAATATATTATTAACAAAGCAAAAAAGCCAGCACAAGACAGCATTCACATCAGACCACCTCAGTAAGTACATGTCATGAGAAACAAGCACATTGAGCCCCATGCCAACAGCACCAGCCAGAGTCATGTTCAGCATAGCAGAGTCATGCGAAACAAGAATTAAGCCAAACATTGGTTAGTCTGACTGGTGCCCGGTTTTATCGATTCAATGCAGTTTTTGGCCAGTTTGATGACATCATCACTGGACCAATTACATGTCCAATCCTAATATTGACTCAGCCCGTTCACCTGTCTGGCTCCCAGTCGGACTGGTCCAACCGGCCGGTGTGAGCCAGGTTTAATAACACTGATTATTACAGTTCATGCCTTTAGGGATTAGAAGGTTCTGCTGGACCATAGACAGAAGCCCCCAAAAGACAACAAAGATAGGAGAATGTCCAGTTTGACACCAACTTGAGAAAGTTTTAGGGATTATGAGAATGAATTTTCTTAATAACTAGAGGGAGTTACTCGGCTGATCTAGTATTTATATACAATTTCGTAATGATTACAATTTGGTGTTTACAAGGAGATAACTGATGATTCCAGCTCCTAAGAACATGCACGGTCTATTCTAGTACAGGAATATCTATGTACATGATCCAAAAATTAATTGCTGCAAAATCCAATAGGCATTTAACTACTAATAACAACAGTTCTATTTTTAACATGTCCCCTCATGCAACAGCCCTTTGGGCTTGAAGCAAGGACAATGTACAGGCCCTCCATAAAATGTACTGAAATTCAAGTTTTATTTAGATGAATAGATGTGATTAGAATCAAACAGCTTGTCATTTAGTCAAAGAAGCTGATAGGGGACTTGGGTATCATGAAGTGCCTAAGTCCTGCATCGAGTAATGTGGAATGCCCGTTAGAATACTTATGTGGCTTGGTTATCCATCCTCGACAAATAGTGTTTAAAGGGAGGTTCGGGTGCTTACAATTGGTATCAGAGTTGGTTTTTAGTATCTCAGAAAGGACTACATGTTGAGGGGGTGAAAGACTGAGTGAAGAGCCGCAGAGTGCAGTTAATGGGACATCAACTCTCAAGAGCGGTGCTATGATAGGGACTTAGGAATTATGGGATACATAAGTCCCACATTGAGAAGCTTAAGTGTTCAGTGGAGTATTTAAGTAGTTAAGTGACTTGGTTCTCCCCCCTTGACAGCTAGCTATTAAGGGAGGATTCCCCAAGTGCTTGGGTGCTTATAAGAGGCTTTAAACCAAGTCAAGAAAAGAATCAAGTCTCCCAAAACCTTAAGCTATTGTTCATGAATAGTTCTCTATCTACAAACCAACATCACAATAATAAGATAACACAACCTTGGCAATTACATAATTGAGCATAAATCATAAATGAAGCAATAGGTAGAGTTATGAAACTTGTGCAGTGAGCACTCTCAAAAACCAAGAAATTACATAAGACAGGGATTGCACGTTACTAAATTATAATAGCATAGCTCCATAGTTGTTACATAAAATCATAATTAGAATCTATGAAATAAGGGAAACCAAAAATTGAATCAATCCATGTAGTCAAGATATAATCTCCAAAAGGATTTCATATTTCTAACTAGAGACATACAAAACAAGCTCCATACAAAAGCTTAAAAAAAAAACACAAATCTGAAAAACTTCACTTGCTTTTTGACTTTCTTTTGCTTACCTGGCAAAGGCTAGAGAAATATTTAAGATTTTGCCCAGACAGTAGCTTAAAAAAGATCAGAACAAACTCAATCTTTTTTTAAATACTTGGGTGAGGTCACTTTATTATAACAATTACCAATCAGATTCAATAACAGCAGCAGCAGCCAAAGCTAGATTCAATCACGAAATTCTTCATAAATAATAAATGTCAGCTGTCTTTTCACCTTCCCCTCTCCCCATCCCCAAAAATTCTACATCAAATTGCCACTAGAGGGCAAAACCAGCTTTTTAATTAGAAACCTTTTCTTATTTAGCACATGATGGCTACATACTCTTCTAACAAGGTATTGAATGCATGGCCCAAAATAATTCAGCAAATACAATCGTAAACATTAAAATGCGTACTTTAGAAGACTGTAAAAAGAACTAAAGATGCACCATCAACAATCTAAAATAAAAAACAACTCAAAAGAAGAACAAAGCACCTAGACATCAGACAAAAATTAAAGATTGTGGCAAATATAATTAAGTACCTCAAGAAATCTGATAATGCCAAGTGACACACCCCTCCACAAACTATAACAAATGAAAACAACCAATTGAGGAAAAGAGAACTACAGTATGTAACCATTTTAGCCTGCAACCTTTATTGCCCCCAATTCATCAATTTTTGAGCTCTTATGCTGCAGTAAAATTAAGAAACAGAAAACAAAACATTACTAAAGAATTGACAAGAGACTATGAGAAGAGATAGACCCCAGAAAATTTATAGAGAAGAAAGAGGTAGGAATAAAAGATTGACAACTTATCTGGAGACAAAGCTTCTCCCTTTATTACCTTACTTTTTTTGTGTTTGTGCACATTGGTAAGGTCATCATCTCCAACATGCTTCCTTTTCTGTAATCATATGATTTGTAATGAGTAAAATGTTTCAAAAATAGAAGTATGTTTCTGAGAGACATTTTCAAATAGCATGTGAAACAAATCCCTTTGAAAATGCGACATCATCAGCACAATACCAGGGAAAATTTCATGTGTTGCTGAGAAAGCAAAACTATTGAATTAGATCATAACATGGCAGGACTTTTAAACACTGATTTTTCACATCAACAAAGCAAATGCATCATATGAAAAATTATCAACCTTCTCATGGTGTTTCTTTGAAGGATCAGCACTAGAATCATTATGCCTGCTTTTATCTTTCTTTTTATCCTTTTCTTTGTCTTGGCTTCGATCTTTTTGCCGATGCTTGTGCTTCCTATGCTCCTTGTCCTTATCTTTGTCCCTGTCTTTGTGTTTTTTATGCTTCTTCTCATCTTTAGACTCACCTTTTGACTTTCCTGCAACAGTCGGAATCCCCTTCTCGGCCTATCAGGGACAAATTCAAGAAATAAGCATATATGCAACCAATTCTAAAATGGAATAGATTGATTATATTGATTTTGAAATTTGAAAAATAGGATAACATGTCTATTAATTTAGTAAATGAAGTAACTGAAGTAGCATTATCAAATTCAAAGAAGATGATTTCTTACAGCAGGCAAATCAATCGGAGCATTTTCCTTGAGTTGAAAAGCCTCCTTTAGAATATCAAAGTCCAAAGGCTGTATACGATAATTAGTACCACTGGACAAAGATGAATTCTGAATAAGTTGATCCAACTGCATCCCATCTCCTTTTCTGATTTCTGTGTCTCCTACAATGTTGTGTAAATAGTGTGCGTCTGAAATTGAAACAGGAAGTGGCCTCTTGCAGAAAAACTCAAAATGAGGGAGTAATTTGAAGTGATTTAATAGGTCCACAGAACCTGTCAATTCTCTAGGTCCTAAGAGTTCAAATAACATTTGCCCACAATCAGAAACCATAGGCAAAATATATACACACATGTTTGACATACTACAACCGTGGCCTAAAGCATGATGTTAAGAAGTTATAAAAGTGATCTAACTGATTCCAAATTGGCAAATAAAATCATGAACTACAATTGAAATTACAATTTTGTCAACCATATCCTAAAGGTAAATATTATAGAGAGAGAGAGAAAGAGAAGTCAATTTTTTTTATAAAAATTAAGTTGGATAATTGGTTTGCCCCATAATAACTGAAAAAAACTATCTGAAACTCACAGTAAATTTCGGATAAGTGGGATTCAATTTTTCATTTCCATAGACATGCTTATTTGGCAATCATTAAAAATCCAAGAAACAAAAGCTGATTATTTTATACAAGTTGCCCTTAGGGTTTAAGCATATAAATTGATGAGTAAATGTGGAAAACAACGGAATATCTTAGGGGTTTATCAACAGAATATATTAGTATAAAACGTTTGATCCAACGCAAAGCTACCTAAAGTTGTTCCAACTAAGAAATAACTTTGAACCAAAAACCAATACCTCAGCGTGAAACCAAACATGTGAAAATTTACGTAAAATCACGTTAACGGGCATTTCAACATGATTGTAAAGAATCCAACATGAAACCTAGCATTAGCACACACTAAATGTGTGTATATATATATACATGACTCTTTTAAGTGGTCATGTGACCAACTATAATCACCGAGTGAAACTTCAACCAAGTATTTCAATAGGATTAACTGTACAGTAAATATCATGCAGATAGGAAATCGGTACTAGCATATATAATACCAAAAATACAAAATGAGATATATGCAAAGCAAAAGGCTGACATGATAAATTTTTACCACCTCCAAATTTTTTGCTCTCAGGATCCATGTGTCAATCTTTCATCAGTTGTTGAATCATTATCAACTGCAATTTTTGATAAGACAAAAAATGTTTTAGTAGCACAAAATATCAACATACCTCCATGTGCATAGCATAACCCAGAGGCACTTAACATGATAATTAACTGGAGAAAAATAAAAGCATTATCCACAATGTTTTATACACTCACCTATTTTTTATGAGAGTATTTATGTAAAATCACGTTAAATCACGTTAACGGGTATTTCAACATGATTCTAAAGAACCAGCATGAAACCAAACATGATTATAGTCCATGACTCTTTTAAGTGGTCGTGTGACAAACTATAATCACAAAGCGAAACTTTAACCCAGTATTTCAATAGGATTGTCAAAGCAAAGGGCTGACATGATAAATTTTTACCTCCTCCAAATTTTTTGCTGTCAGGATCCATGTGTCAATCTTTCATCAGTTGTTGAATCATTATCAACTACAATTTTAGATAAGACAAATACGTTTTAGTTGCACAATATCAATATAAAATCTGGTTTATACTTTATACATGACAACAGTGGCCAAATAGTTGCTTTAAAATTAATGGGACTTCCATCTAAGGTCCCAGTGGAGGCCCTAAGCACAATCAAGGTGGAGGACCGTCCAAGATCCCATTTTCAGAGGGGCACTATTTTTTTTTAAATTTATATAAATATAAAAATTACATAATTAAATTATATAAGAAAAATATTATTATAGAAAATAAATTAATCAACAACAATTAATCAATTGATATGTGATGTTTTTTATTTCTCAATAAAAATCTACTTTTAATTTTAGGAAAATAAATCGATAATATTAAGTATGATATATTATTGAATTATTTCCTTTAATTTCTCATATTGTTAATAAATATGAATCTTGAAATTTCTCTCTTTGCCTATATATACATAATCCCTTGATTCTCTCTCTATTCTCTTAATTGTGATCTCTATTTGTTAGTTACTGCAAATTTCTTGGTGATGTACTACTATTGTTAATTTTTTTCCTTGATAAATTTTTCTGTTAAACATCCTATATTTTTTTTCTTCAAAATAATGCAAATATAGATAATCTGGACTTCAAAGCAAAAAATTTTGAGAATGAAAAACTAAATAAAAATAATGAAGAACATGATATTTGAGTTGAAATAGTGAAAATGAAAATGATTATCATGATAAAATTGAATATTTTAATGATAAAAATTAACATACCCACCTAGGACAATCCAATCAGTATAGTTTATTAGACATTTATGATCTAATAACATAAAATAACTTTAAAAGTGGTTTATAAGATGAATTACTAAAAAATAGTATTAAATGAGATATCTATTGTGAATGGTCCTAAGAATAATTTTGATATCCTTATAATTTTTACAATAAAAAAATACAAGCACAATACTTAAATAATTGAGGGCATCATGTTTTTAGTTTGCTCAAGGCCTTAAAAAACTCAAGGCCGGCCCTGTAAAGTCCAAAACCAGTTTTGCACGAGAGCAGAGATTATCCCTCAAACAAACAAGGTTAGCTATTGCATGTGAATTTTTCCACCATTAAGCTTGTCTGCTGTTTTCACAAATTTTAGATTGTTCTCCCAAGTATTAGATAAGTCCTCTAAAATTAACTTGCCTCTTTTTTTTTTTTTTTTTTTTTTTATAAAAAGCCATTTCAAAAGCTAAAATCAACTCTCTTTTTTTCATGGAATTTCTAATAAATTAAACATGATGCTTTATTAAAACTGCTTTTGTAATAAACACCCCTTAAAGTGTCTAGCAAAAAGCTAATAAGCTTATTTTAGACTGAAGAGCTTATATAACATGGACTTATTGAATATATACTTATATAAGTAGTTTATCCAAACCCATAATTATCCACCTGAGGCTGGCCAGAGTGTGTAGATTATAATTTTATTAAATCGAAACAGAAACAAAACAGAGATAGACAAGAAATTGATGCAAATACCCTATTGCAGTCGTATCCGATATCAGATATAGCTCAGTATAACCATATAGATACCTGGGAAGAAAACCAAAATTACTTGAATAGCACTAACATAGATCAGCATATGAATGGATACCATGGCTCGCTTATTCTAGTTTTGCTCATGCTGCCAGAAAAGATATGTGTTTTTTAATCAAATGGGGTGACTAGAACCTGATTGTTCAATTTTGAAAATTTTCAGCTACTCTTTTTAAGAAAAAATAAAGGGGAGAAAGCAAAAGAATAGAGAGGCGGGAGAAGAGGCAACTAACAAACAAGAAAAGAGATTTCCATGGTTTGCGATAGCATTTGTCTCCCGAATCCCAAAACATGTCGGTTTCTGGTTTTAAGATGATTAAAAATTCAAACATAACGGTTTTAACAGTATTCGTAAAAGTGTGGGGCAGAGTTCCCGCAAAAACAGAAAGTAATGGTTATGGAATAGATAATTGTGAATTGAAAAGCAGCTGAAGTGGGAATTAGTGGCAAAAGAGGAAGATGATTGAAAATGAAGAGAAGAGAAAAGAGGAAGGGACTCACAGATAGAATAGAGTTAGTGAAGTAAGACGGGATTTTTAGGTTTTTCTTCTCTTCTCTTCTCTTCTCTCCCGTTATATGTTGTTTGCTGTCGAGTTTCCCTCAAATTCTATTTTCCTTTGATTCAGTCACACGCACCCAATGCCAAACCCCAATTCTGCGAATTCCCAATCCAATTCTCTTTTCATATTTAGCCCTTCCCTTCCCCATTTTTTCTATTTTCTTCCCCTTTCCCATTCATCAGGTCAACCATGTTCATCACAAAAACAAAAATTATAAATTTCGAATCATAAAATTTTATTACTAATTTAAAAGGCTATTAATAGATAAATTAATAATTTATTAATTTCGAGAATTTTTTTCCCGTCTAGAAAATATGTGAAGTTATTGTAAGATATTAAAAGACAGTAGAATTTTGGCATGTTACATTATATGTTTTTATTTTATATAATAAAATTTATATTGGAGCAAAAAATATATATTAAATAAATATTTTAATATATAAATTATGTTATGGTTAAAATTTATAATAACTGTATATTTTATTATAAATTTTATTTTATATTTATAATAAATATTTGCCAACACTATTTTGAAAACAAAATTATAGTTAAAAATGTTTTGAATAATTTCAAATTATGAGTAAAATAGTGTAAATTTAATTTTAATAGTAGTATATGTGTAACACTGTCTTGAGTGTTTTATATATGTTGTAGGATATATATATATATATATATATTATGTTGTTTTTGAAATTCTAAGAACTAAAGAATTTTTATGAGTTTAATTATTTAGGGTTGTTTTATGTTAAAATAAAAATTGACAAGAAACAGGAAAAAATATATATAAGATTTTCAAAAAAAAAACATGAACTTCATAGGCTCATTTTTCTTAATTCTAGAGAGATAAACTATGAAGTTAAGGAAGATCTTTTCTTCTTCTGATTTCATCAAAAGCATCTAGCTTTGAGTAGTTAGAGTAAAGATTCAAGATGTAGAGTTGAGAATTAAAGATAGAAGTTATTGTATAAGAAGTTTCAAAAGTTTGTTGTTCTTCACCATTCTTTCCTCTTTTTATGATTTGAGGAGCAATTGAGGTAATAGATGTTTGTAATTTTCTTCATACCTTGAGTTGTTGTTGTTGATTAATGATTATTGAGTTAGCTAGCCCATTGGTGGCATTTGTTTTGAATATGTGAAGTGGTTACTTTAGTTCTAGGTTTTTGGGTGTTTATGGTGTTATGAAGGAGAAACGATAATTTTGTATCATGTTGTGGTTTCATAAGATGTTTTTGATGATTTATAAGTTGTATGAAGTATGTATATGATGAATTTCAAGTTACATGTTGAGATCATAAAGTGTGATAGATGGATTTGAAGTGAGAAGATGAGTTGTTCTTAGTGAAACTTTGTTCTCGCCCAACGATGAGATGTAGTGCCTAGAGTGCAATTATGGCTAAAGAATAACTACCCATAATCATAATCTGGCTCAGAGACAAAGTGTTGCCTAGTGAGAAAAAGGTTTTGCCAGTAGTTCCGCCTATCAAACCATAGCGCGCTCGATGAGAGGACCCATAGAGGGTTTTACTTGCTTAATGAGCTATGGTCACCTAATAAGAGGACTAATAGAAGGTTAAGCTCACCCAATGAGCTAAGGCCACACAACAATGAGCTTAGGCCACATAGCAATGAGCTCAGGCCATACAACAATGAGCTCTAGAGAAGTCTATTTGCTTGATAATCTAGAGTCCGCCCAACGAGGAAAGTCACATGATGCTTTCTTCACTAAGTGATAGTAGCCTGTCCAATGACAAGCTTTAGAGAGTTCCGCTCGCTTAATGAGAACCCTGTTTCTAAACTTGTTTATCTTTTATGTTTTTCTCTATCATGTGATGTAAGTTGATTAATAAGTTGATTTTGGATGTAATATGATGTTTTAAGATTTGAGAATCATGTTGCATAATGTTGATTTGAGGTAAGATTTCAAGTGTTGTATGTTGTATGTTGAATGAGTTGAGATGTTTGAGTTAAACTGGGTTGTGTTGATAAAATGCATGACACATGTTGTTGAGTTGTGAAATTGAACTTAGGATCAAAGGAGACTCAAATATTTTATAAGTTGAAATATCTCATATTGTAAATATAAGTTGTAGTGCTCTATGAGTATGAAGTTGAAAACCCTTCGAAGAGTAAGTTGCACCCTAAAGTGGAGCGTTATTTTTAGAAAGTTGTCTCTTTTAGGTTCTTAGTTAATACATTATGGGGTTAGGTCAAGCCATATTGTTTATGTTGTGACCTATAGTGTAAGGTATGAAGTCAGGGGTAGAATCTCTAACTGATTGTTGGAAATGTGTGTAATATTTAGAAGGTAATCAACGGATTAATTCCATATAGGTATAGTTGATACATATTATTGTCATGGTAGGCTCACCCCTAAGTTGGTCTATTTTTGACTGTAATACCAGACTTTCCTAATTTAAGTGGTGACATATGAGAAATCAATCAAATTGTTGAATAGGCACTGGTATGCCAAATGTTATTTTGACTAGGCATTGGTATGTCAGACGTGGTATTGACTTGATCCTTTATTTTGGAGGGATTAGACATATTGGTTTGATAGGGTTAAACTACCCACTTATACTGTAAGAGATCTCTTAGTTGAAATTGTTGTGAAGTTGATAAAGTTGTACCTATATTGTTGAATTCTAATTTGTAAAGTTATTAAATGATGTGTTGAGAAGTTAATCTTATAAGTTGACTAATTGTGTTGTTTAAGTTAAGTTATAACTATTGTTGAGTAGTTGAAGTTGATGATGTGTATATGTAGTTAGTTTATTTCATCCTATATTATATGTTGATTTTTTCTTTTACACTAGCTTACTCTTATGTTTTAATGTGTTGGTCTACAATGATTATACTTGAAATGAAAAGAAGTCAAAATTAGGCTAGAGAGTGAACATGATGGTTGACCATGCAAAAGATGGCGTTGTTTTGTGGAGGCTATTCTAATAGCTTTATTAAGTTTGTTTGACTAATAAATTAGGATTTTATTGATTTTTAGTACTAGTATTTGTATGTGTGCATGTGTGTATATATATATATATAAGGATTTGTTGTAGCCTCATAAAGAGCTTTATATTTTTCTACCCCTTGTATATATATCTGTTATATGAATATTCAAATATTGTTTGCATGAAAATCTTAAGTTAGAAGATATTTATGTTTCTGTTACGTAATAGTTATGTTGTAGTAAATATAGTAACATGTCAAATCGTTAACTATTTTTTATAAAAGTTGTGTTATTATTAGATATATGATATAATATAAATGACTTATAAACATGTATTTAATGTTTCTTATATATACTATCATATTAATTATTAAAGTCACTTTGCATTTCTGTCTATTTAAAAAAAAATAAATGTGAGTGGTTAATATTAAAATAGTTTGACCAGCTTTTAAGCATATATAGTTATAAAGATAGGTTTTAAAAAATGGTAGAGAAATAAGTAGTAGTTTGAGAAGGAATTTTATGGAAAAAATTATCTTACAAAAAATGTGTATATCAAATAGGATAATCTCTTTTATTAATAACATCGATTATTAATAGTATATATAACCAAAATTTGTAATAAATTATATATAAATAAATATTATATTTAAAAATATAAAATATATTATATTTGATATTTGTATAAATAGACATTTTAAAACATAAATTATGTTTTAGATTTATAATAAATAATTTATATTGTATTCCAATATTATTTTTAATTATTAATAATTTATTTTTAAGTATTAAAAATTAATTTAAAAATAAATTTGGTAAAAACAAATTGAAATAGATAATAAATTAAGAGAATCCTTGAAAGTTATAGAATTGAAGAAAAATGTTTAAAAACATTATTGTTAAAGAGAAACCTTAAAATGCTCTTGTATAAGATAATTGTTCTCATGTGTGTGTATGTGTATGTAAATACAGGCTACATATTTATTATATATAATTAAAATTTATAATAAATATATTTGATACTTTTATAAATTGATGTTTATGAATACATAAATTATATTTTAAATTTATGATAAATAATTTATATTATGATATAAGATTAAATTTAATAATTTATTTTTAAAAAATAAATGTAATTTATAAAATAAAAATGATTAATAAAGAAATTAAAATAATCTTTAAAAATCATCTTGTTGAAGAAAAAAAAACATTGGAAAAATAGTCATCTATGTTTAATATATAAGAAAGGACAAATAATTTAGCATGCATATAACACATGTTAAATCTTTATCATATAATTAAAATTTATAATAAATTATACATACAAATAAATACTATATTTAAATATATAAAATATAATTTAAATTATATTTTTTGTCCTTTATGTTAATTTTAAGATTCATTTTTTAGTCATTTACTAAGTAACACGAATTCGGACACAGACACAAGGAAAAAGTAAAATCAAAAATCATAAAATACATGGACACGACATATATATATAATATATAATATAAATAACATGACAAAAATATTATATATTAATATAACAATAATCTACTAAGTCTCAAAAATAAATTATTAAGAGACATCATATTCCACAATTTTTTTTTAAAAATTTCAAATCCTTCTTTAATTGTTTTTATTTTTATTAAGATTTTTTTTTTCTATTACATGAAAGTCAAGTAAGGAGAGATGGAACAATTTTCTTCCTTGTTTCTATTTTTATCAATTTTTTTTAAATATCTTAAATCTTACCTTCTTTGTTTATATTTTTATTGAGATTTTTTTCTTTTTAAAAAAAAACTCAAATTCTCCCCTTTTTATTTTTATTTTTATTGAGATTTATTCTTCTTCTTTTTTTTCAAATCACAAATCATCCCTTTTTTGCTTTTGTTTTTTTTAGATTTATTTTTAAAAAAAATATCGAATCCACGTATCTAATAGAGCATCGAGATAGAGACGTATTCATTTGTAAGTGTCTACGATAAAGACACATCAATTTTGTATGTGTCCACGATGGAGACACGTCAATTTTGTAGGTGTGCGTGATAGAGACATGTACAATTTGTGTGGACACGGTCTATCGAATTGTCTGAGACACGTCCATAGCATGTCCGCTTCTAAAGAGTGTCAGACTCGAGGACACAACAATCTCATGTCGTGTCCATGCAACATAGGTTCTTTATCTTTCAAAATGTTCATTTTAGTTTTTTATTTTTTTAAAAGGGAGTCATTTTGGTCCTTCCAAAATTATGATTGTTTTTAATTTTGGAATCAAAATTCAAATCATTATTTGATTGATTCAAAATATAAACTTTTTCTCATTAGATTCACTTATATTAAAATTCTGAAACTTTATTAATATTTGAATAAAAAATAACTATGAACATGTTGTGTGAAAAATGAATCTCACAAGCAAATAGAAAAAATATGATATTATATTTTTTAGTGTTTGGTTGTTCGATGGACTCATTTTGATGCAATTCTTTTGTCATGTTTATGGCTTTTTTATTCAAACATTAGTTGGTTTCAATATTTTCCATTTAGGTGAATATAATAAAACAAGTTACACATTTTGAATCAATTAAGAAAATAATTCAAAGTTGTGTCCCAAAATAAAATATAATCAATCTTTTAGAAGAATCAAATTGACTCGGGTTTAAAAGTGACTAAAATGGATTTTTTTTAAATAAAAAATAAAAATGAATATTAGAAATAAGATAAAGAACTAAAAGTATAATTTACTATAAATTATCTTAAAATTTTGTAGAAATTAATATTCTTAAACAATAAATTATATTGGTATTTTAACGTGTACAATCTCATGTCTAATTTTCATCTTGTTATAGTAATGTTTAGCTAGTGTGACACCTTCTACCTCACATATCATAACACATAAATCATCAAAACTAAATAGAAAAATCTTTCATAAATAAAATCCAATGTGTTTAACATAAAAGGTATCACATTTTCAACAAAACAAAAACAACTGAAATTCCAATAAAATCTATTACAAGAAAACTAATAATTATCTCAAAACATGACAAAACAAGATAATCTCTAACTAAGTCCCGATGTCACATCTTATCAAAATATAAATCCAACTATAAGGACTAAGCCTTACTAACAACATACAATAGACTGGCTCAAGATGTAACTGGGTAGTCAAACACAACCAATATTTTCATGACATAATAATTAAATATCACATAACATTAAGGTGCATTATACAATGGACACAGATTACATGTTATCATACATGTGACACCACTAAAAATATCATATATCATACCTATGCATTGTCGCTAGTAATACACATAGAGTAGAGCCTAAGAGTACATGGAGAGTCACACTCTTTGCACACTCTCACCATGAGAATATATTACTAGAGTCTAGTCATGATAGTTAAGTCGCGCAAGATACATCATGTGCAGACGAAGGGCGAGACTAAGATTTCTAAACCAAACTATCCTCAAGGATTGATTCCAAAGCTTTTACACAAGAGGACTTCCTTGGTGGTGTATTCTATATCATACCCATAAAAACACTTTTTATGCATATGATGCATGTCAAACAAACACTATGCATAACATTTCACATGATCTCATACCACAACACATCATACATCTTATCATATCATACCATAGCTAAGTCTCGCTTAGACTTTTCATAATATGATCCTCATACACATTAATTGTATCAATATCAAAGCACATCAGTCAATTCATACATAGCTTACAATAGATCATATCAATGTCATACTCACACACTACATCTAATTATCAAGTAATACAATGATTACACAACATTATTCGATGCACCTCAAGTAAGAATCATTACAAGATCATTTAATCATATATTAGCACCTCAACCATAGGCACTAAGATTATTTCACTAAGAATTTAAATCAATAGTTTAACTAGTCTACCAACTTTATTACTATCACACATTAAGTCCTTAGATATCACTATTATTAAAATACATAAAGTCATTAACAATCAACTTACATCATAACTTATTAACAATTGTTTTCTACTATAATTCATCCTTCTTAAATATTGATATAAGTACCTCAAACCATTTATAAGATCAAACACTTCAAGGGTAAAACTATTCATCATCCTTATTCAGAGACTATATTTTCACAACTTGATCTTCTAAGACATTATGTGATCCAAACATCTTATCTAGAGCTATATATATGATATCAAGTTGATCTTAATTTTATTAGAAAGATAAGACAATTATCTCCAATTTCTATGTTAACCTCAAGAGCTAACTATATACTATTTTTTAAAAATACAAAATTGTAACATTTCAGCCTAATCTGACAGTTTGACCCCCGCTTACTAATTTGATCATAACTTGAGATTTAAACCTTCTTTTTAGGTGAATCCAATGACATTTGAAAGCTAACATATAGAGATACAACTTTTATACAGATTACAAAACTTAATTCAACCATTTGAGTCTACTTGAAGGGCTTATAACATACACATGTTATATTCCGTGCACAAAATATAAGGTTCACTCTTTAACTCACATAACTCAATTATCCCTTAACATTTTTTACATAATTCTTAAGTTTAAATTTTAGTCTCAAATGTCTACTTTCTAACCTAACAATAAAATCTCAATTTTATTAATCACATGCAAAGAAATCAAATAAATACCGAGGCATATTCATATTAGAGTTTTCAGAACAAGGCACAACTCACACTCAAACTTTCTTCTCCCAATCTAATAAGTAAAAACATATACTAAAGTCTAATACTACTCTATTATACACTTAATTACTCAAATTCAACCTCAATTTCATATATTCACACAATTAACATCAATCTTCACTTTGTTTTGTAAACAAGTGTTCCCTACGGTAACTATAGATTCTCAAACAATTCAAATTACATGAAATTAATTATAGATATAATTCAAACATCATATATAACGTACATAATTACATACTCATTCAACTTTTCATATAAACACAAAAAAAATGCATTCTCTCAGGGTTTGCTCTTATTAGAACTCACTAGTAATCTAAGATCCAAGAGATTAATCCAATGCAAGGAATTAAACCTAAATATCATCAACTAGAACAATGAAGAATCATATAAAAGACAAAATTTAAGGAGTAGATACAAATTGGGCTTCCCTCTTGCATACAACAAAAAAGAGTTTGGGGTCAATTTCACTACCCAACAATTATCTCACATCCAAATCGAGATTATTTACTCATTCCATACCTCGATGAACGCTTGTTGAATATGAAGAACAATCTGCAAGGTGTTCTCTTAGGAGTCATGATTTTCCTTCTTGTTCTAGCGATAAAAAATGAGAAGCTTAAAAATAAAAAGAATTGTTATAATCCCTCTTTAAAAACTTAACTCACACTTAACCCTACAGTAAAAATATTTTAATCATAATTATCTTTTCCTTTTCATAAAATATTAAAACTCATCAATAATTAAATAATATATCAAATAAACATAATTTTTTCCAATTCAAATAATTATAACAAAATACAATAATTAACAAATTTATAATATATATATATAGTAAATATATTTCTCCCAACATAATTATATTAAAATAAATATATAGATAGTTATAATAAAAACACATATTTTCTTCAAAATATTTATTGTAACAAATATCATAAAAATATATATTTTTCTAATAAATAATATATAAAACAATTTTCACAAATATTTATTATTTAATTAAAAACACTCATAATTATTAAAAATCTCTAAAATATTTTATAAAATCTTTTTAATTAATTAAAATAATTATAAAAAAATGACCCTATTAAATATAAAAACAAATAATAATTAAATAATTATATTAGTAAAAAATTTGAGGTATTACAATCGATGAAAGTCACACCCTACAAACATAAAAATTAATTCATGATTATCAACTTTAAGACATTATATGAACCATGTCCATGCAGAAAAAATACATATGTCCAATATTTATTATATGTAAATAAAATTTAAATGAATATAATGTTTAAACATATAAATTATATTTAAAATTAGAATAAACAAATAATTTTAAATATATAAATTATATTTTAGGTTTACAATAAATAATTTAATTATAGTACAAAATTATTTATATTAATTAATAATTTATCTAGAAAATATTAAAATTTAATTTATAAATATTATGATAAATGAAACCAAATCATATATAAAGTTACAAAAAATTCCTAAAAACTCTCACATAAAAAAGTAGCCCTAAAAGCACACTCATGCAAGGTAACTATTCAAGTACAAAATGGTTGATTTTAATTATTGATAATTCACTTTTAAAAATTCAAATTTAATCTATAAATTAAAAAACTAATAAAGATGATATCTTATTTTAGTATCCACATTTCTTGCATCCTTTTATCCTTTAACTAATTTGTTTAACCGTCCTACTATTCTGAAATTAACCACACTTTCTTAATTTCATCATTTTTATTTTTATTTTTTTATGACAAAACACAAAGTATCTCATCTTTACTAATTTAAATAAAAATGATAAATAAATATTGAATTAGATATGATGTTACAAGAATTCCTAAAAGCTCTCATTGAAAAAAGTGTCCAAAAACACTCATTCATGAGAAGTTTCTAAAAACGCTCTACCGTACATTTGCATTTAATATACATAGGAGTGGATACTCTTCTAACTAGGAATTGAATGCATGACTCAAATAATTCAGCAAATACAATTGATAAACATTAAAATTCGTACTTAAGATGACCGAAAAAAGAACTAAAGATGCATCATCAACTATCTCTAAAATAAAAACAATACAAAAGAACAACACCTAGACATCAGACCGCTCCATCAGACCCCTCAAATGACAACCATTTGAGGAAAAGAGAACTACAGTGTGTAACCATTTTAACCTGCAACCTTTATTGCCCCCAATTCATCAATTTTTGAGCTCTTATGCTGCAGTAAAATTAAGAAACAGAGAACAAAACATCACTAAAGAATTGACAAGAGACTATGAGTAGTGATAGACAGCAGAAAATTTATAGAGAAGAAAGAGATAGGAATAGAAATTGACAACTTATCTGGAGACAAAGCTTCTCCCTTTATTACCTTACTTTTTTTGTGTTTGTGGACATTCGTAAGATCATCATCTCCATCATGCTTCCTTTTCTGTAATCAAATGATTCATATTGAGTAAAATGGATCAAAAATTGAAGTACGTTTCTGAGAGACATTTTCAAAAGGCATGTAAAACAAATCCTTTTGAAAATGCTGACATCATCAGCACAATACCAATGAAAATTTCATGACTTGCTCGGAAGCAAAACTATTGAATTAGATTATAACATGACAGGAATTTTAGAACACTGATTTTTCACATGAACAATGCAAACGCATCGGTCTAAAATTTATCAACCTTCTCGTGGTGTTTCTTTGAAGGATCAGCACTAGAATCATTATGCCTGCTTTTGTCTTTCTTTTTATCCTTTTCTTTGTCTTTGCTTCGATCTTTCAGACGATGTTTGTGCTTCCTATGCTCCTTGTCCTTACCTTTGTCCCTGTCTTTGTGCTTTTTATGCTTCTTCTCATCTTTAGACTCATCTTTTGATTTTCCTGCAACAGTCAGAATCCCCTTCTCGGCCTATCAGGGACAAATACAAGGAATAAGCATATATACAATCAAATCTAAAATGGAATAGATTGATTATATTGATTTTGAAATTTGAAAAATAGGATAACATGTCTATTAATTTAGTGAACAGAAATGAAGCAACAGAAGAAGCACTATCAAATTCAAAGAAAATTCAAAGAAGATGATTTCTTACAGCAGGTAAATCAATGGGAGCAGTTTCCTTGAGTTGAAAAGCCTCCTTTAGAATATCGAGGTCCAAAGGCTGTATACGATAATTAGTACCACTGGACAAAGATGTATTCTGAATAAGTTGATCCAACTGCATCCCATCTCCTTTTCTGATTTCTGTGTCACCTACTACGTTGTGCAAATAGTGTGCGTCTGAAATTGAAACTGGAAGTGGCCTCTTGCAGAAAAACTCAAAATGCGGGAGTAATTTGAAATGATTTAATAGATCCACAGAACCTGTCAACTCTCTTGGTCCTGAGAGTTCAAATAACAAATTCCCACAATCAGAAAGCATAGGAAAAATATATACATACAACATGTTTGACATACTAAAACCGTGGCCTAAAGCATGATGTTAAGAAGTTCTAAAAGTGACCTAACTGATTTCTAGTTGGCAAATAGAATCATGAACAACTACAATTGAAATTACAATTTTGACAACCATATGCATAAGCTAAATATTAAAAAAAGTGCGAGAGATAGCAGACGTCAAATTTCTTATAAAAAATGAGATGGATAATTGATTTGCCCCACAATAAGTGAAAATAAATTATCTGAAACTCATGGTAAGTTTCGTATAAGTGGGATTCAATTTTTCATTTCCAAAGAAATGCTTATTCGGCTATCATAAAAAATTCAAGTAACAAAAAGACTGATTAGTTTATATAAGTTGCCCTTAGGGTTTAGGCATTAAATTGTAGAGTAAATACCTAAACTGGTCTTTGAAGGAAAAACACAAGGGGAAACTTTGATCATGAGAAGGAAAAGATTAAACATTTGGTCTCTCAAGATTATTTTTTTTTTTATATATATATAAGCGTTTAGATTAGGACAAGGCACAACCCCATACATGGTCAGAGTAAACCACCAACCTCTTTGAGAATTTTCAATGGGATTATGAATTGTCTAACCCATCCCCAATGTAAGTTTGCATGAAAAGATATAAAACACGAGAGAAGTCGGATTATACCCTAGATTCTAGTTGGTAGGAGCAAAGGGACTTAATCAACTATGTCACTCTCGCGAGGCAATCTCTCAAGATTACAAAGATGGAACACTTTAATCCTTCCATGCATTTAAATTAACATTTGTATAAACCAAGTGGAATCATTATTTTGAAGGGACTAAGTTGGTACACAATTCACTTTTTTAGTGACTAATCATGTCCTAAAAATTAAGAGAAAGTGGCTAAAGTACTAAATTGTGTCACGTTTTTAATCAATAAGGACTATTTAGTGACGTTTTTCTTCTAGGACAAAATTACAGTCAAATGATTTATTTGAAGGACTGAATTGGATATCTAATCTAACTTAAAATTGAGTTGGTTAAGAACTACTACAAATGCTACTTTTATAGTTCCCATCAATGATATATAGTAGATTTTCTGTTGAGAGTAATTTTATAGATACACTAGCAGCAGTTAGAATGCAGTCTCTAATTGCCAAACTAATCACTAGCTTATTAACTGACTTTGTAACACTGTTAAGTGTTAACCTAATTTACTGTAACAGAAGCACACTGTTGCCAAGGTAGTCAGAATCAAGATAAGATAATACCTAAAATAAAAATTTATATTTAATTACAGACAGACAAACTCACACATAACATAGATAAGAAAAATAACCTTTATATGACAACTAAATTTTAAGTTTTTGACACAATATAAAGCCTAAACAATAACTGGATTGTACGTGATTCTACATCAGAGCTTGGAATGTAAGCAATATTAATAATCATTTATACTATACCTACATAATTAGCAACCAAAATACTCGATTTAAATTTCAACACCAGGCCTAAAATTCCTAAGCAATGAACATAATACCTCCATGTGCATAGCATAACCCAGAGGCACTTAACATGATAATTAACTGGAGAAAAATAAAAGCATTATCCACAATGTTTTATACACTCACCTATTTTTTATGAGAGTATTTATGTAAAATCACGTTAAATCACGTTAACGGGTATTTCAACATGATTCTAAAGAACCAGCATGAAACCAAACATGATTATAGTCCATGACTCTTTTAAGTGGTCGTGTGACAAACTATAATCACAAAGCGAAACTTTAACCCAGTATTTCAATAGGATTGTCAAAGCAAAGGGCTGACATGATAAATTTTTACCTCCTCCAAATTTTTTGCTGTCAGGATCCATGTGTCAATCTTTCATCAGTTGTTGAATCATTATCAACTACAATTTTAGATAAGACAAATACGTTTTAGTTGCACAATATCAATATAAAATCTGGTTTATACATGACAACAGTGGCCAAATAGTTGCTTTAAAAGTAATGGGACTTCCATCTAAGGTCCAAAACCAGTTTAGCATGAATGCAGAGATTATCCCTGACAAGGTTAGCTATTTTGCATGTGAATTTTTCCACCATTAAGATGGTCTGCTGTTTTCACAAATTTCAGATTGTTTTCCCATGTATTAGGTAAGTCCTCTAAAGTTAACTTACCTTTTTTTTTAAATTTTTTATAATAAGCCATTTCAAAAGCTAAAATCAACTCTCTCTCTTTTTTCCTAGTAATTTCTGACTAAATTAAACATGATGATTTATTACAATTGCTTTTTTAATAAACACCCCTAAAAGTGTATCAAAAATCTAATAAGCTTATTTTAGACTGCAGAGCTTATATAACATAGACTTATTGAATATATACTTATAAAAGTAGTTTATCCAAACAGGACCCATAATTATCCACCTGAGGCTGGCCAGAGTGTGTAGATTGGAATTTATTAAATCGAAAAAGAAAGAAGACAGTGACAGACAAGAAATGGATGTAAATACCTTATTGCAGTTGTATCCGATTTCAGATATAATTCAGTATAACCATGCGGATACCTGAAAAGAAAACCAAAATTACTTGAATAACACTAACATAGAGAAGCATCTCAATGGATACCATGGGTCACTTGTTTTAGTTTTGTTCGGGCTGCCAGAAAAGATATGTTTTTTAATCAAAAGGGATGACTAGAACCTGATTGTTAAATTTTGAAAAACTTCAGCTACTGTTTTAAGAAAAAATAAAGGGGGGAAAGCAAAAGAAGATAGAGAGGCGGGAGAAGAGGCAACTAACAAACAAAAAAATAGATTTCCATGGTTTGCGATAGCATTTGTCTCCCGAATTCCGAAAACATATCGGTTCTTGGTTTCAAGATGATTAAAAATTCAAACATATTGGTAAAAGTGTGGGGCAGTGTTCCCGAAAAAACAGAAAGTAATGGTTATGGAATAGATAATTGTGAATTGAGAAGCAGCTGAAGTGGGAATAAGCGGCAAAAGAGGAAGATGATTGAAAATGACGAGAAGAGAAGAGAAAGGAGGAAGAAATATAATGGGATGAGAAAGGGACTTACAGATAGAATAGAGTTAGTGAAGTAAGAGGGGATTTTTAGGTTTTTTTTCTCTTCTCTTCTCTCCCGTGATCTGTTGTGTTGAGTTTCCCTCAAATTCTATTTTCCTTTGATTCAGTCACACGCACCCAATGCCAAACCCCAATTCTGCGAATTCCCAATCCAATTCTCCTTTTATATTTAGCCTTTCCCTTCCCCATTTTTTCTATTTTCTCCCCTTTTTCCATTCATCGCGTCAACCATGTTCATCACCAAAAAATTTATAATGTTCGAATCGTAAAGTTTTATTAATTTAAAAGGTTTTTAATTAATAATTTATTAATTTTGAAAATACTTTTTCAGTTTAAAAAATATTTGAAGTTATTGTAAAATACTAAAAGACAGTGCTATTTTATGTAACATTATATGTTTTTATTTTATATAATTAAAATTTATAATAAATAAATGTTTTTAATATTATTATTCAAATTTATAATAAACTAATATTTTTGTCATGTAAATTTTATTTTAAATTTATGATAAATAATTCTCAACACCATTTAGAAAATAAAATTATAATTAAAAATATTTTGAATAATTTCAAAGTGTGAATACATATTTCGAATGGTGTAAATTTATTTTTAGTATTAGTATGTATTTAAAGAGTTATGATATTATTGGTTATACAATATAATGACTTATAAATAAATATCCGTGGTTTTTTCCTTCAAAATCAATCTAATTGAGTTTGTGTACACTTTTATGGTTATTGTCATTTGCATGGACATAAGTAGATAAATATATTAGACATGCAAAATTTTATCACATAATAAATAAAATTGTTATTTTAGCCCGTTAATTTCATACATTAAATATTTTTATAATTTTAAAAAAAATTAACTCTTTATCTTATTCAATTTTTATTTATCATAATTATTTATAAATTAAATTATAATATTTTTATAATAAATTATCAATAAATAAAAAAATGTGTTACAATTTAAATTATTTATCATAAATCTAAAATATAATTTATATACATTTACTTAAATTTTAAATATAATTTATTTATTTAAATATAATATTTACTAGTATTTTAGTTTGTTTAATACACAAGTAGAATATTTATTGTATATAACTAAAATTTATAATAAATTATATATACAAATGAATATTATGTTTGAATATATAAATTATATTTAAAAATTATCTAAATAGATATTTTTAAACATATAAAAATATTTTTAAAATTTATGATAAATAATTTATTTTATAGCATAATGTTGTTTTTATTTATTGATATTTTATTTTAAAAATATCAAAATTTAATTTAAAAATAATTATGTGAAATAAAAATCAAATTAGATAAGTAATTAAAAAAAATTCTTTTATCAAAGAAAAACCTCTAAAAATGCTCCCATGGTAAATAGAGATTTGTGTTTAATATATAGGGGTTGATTTGTATATATAATTTATTATAATTTTTTGTTATAAATAGTAAACATTTAACATGTGTAATAGCATGGTGTTTCGAATTCCATATGAAAACTTAGGTTTTTTAAACCATTCGATTATATACAGGAAGAATAGTATGAAAAAAAGGGTATTTATAATTTTATCTAATCTATCAGGAACCTAGTTAAATTTTAGTGTCATAGACTTTGTTATTTTTTTCATACCAGAAAGCTTTTAGCAATTTTTATTTAAATTAGAAGAAAACATACAAGCTAAAATACTAGTTATATAAGAAATTAAGAGAATCCATAAAAAATAGAAAATAAAAAATAAAAAAACTCTCATGAAAGAATAGTCATTCATTTTTTTTGTGTATTGAAAAAAAAAACAAAAATAACTATAACAGAGCAAGAATATCCCCTCTCACAAATTGGAAACTAAAAACTAGAGGATTCCTACACACAATATCAATAATTGAATATCTAGCTTCCCAACCCACAAACATTTTGTTTATATCATGAGAGATACTCACAAAAATAACCCTCCAATCCCAGGCCACCAACCCCCTGATATTTCTGATAATATCTCAATGTTTATGAAGATAACTCTCATGATCCGACCATTGAATCATTGACATTGTCCCAACACAATTTGATTCACAAATTATGTGTCGCCAACCTTAGTGTCAGCACAACTCCAAACCTTTCAATATTACTAACAATTTTGCACGAAGTTGATCACCATTACTCATCAAACTTGCAAAACCACTCTTTCAATCTCCCACTACATCCCTTACAACACCTCCAAACCCCATAACTCTTGTCACTCAACCAACTACCATCTACATTCAACTTTAGTCATGGGTATTCAAGAGGGACCAACACACATTCTCCCCCCAACTTCTTATTTGCTTCAAATATAAGAGATTATCCACAATAGTTGTCTCAATTTGATGTAGCACATACCAAATACTCCATCCCTTTTCCTGAAAAATTATATTGTTGCAAAACCTCCACACCCACTAGAAGACCATACTCAACCTCATACCATCTTGATGTTGAATGACAACTAAGAACCAAGTGTTGATATCATTTATCATAAACACCCAGGCAAACCTCTTACCCATTTGTAGACATACTTCCTTCGAATGAGGACAATCCCTTAAGACATGTAGCAAAGTTTCTATTGAGCATGAACATTTGGGGCATGTGTCACTAGACACAAGATGCCGAGAAAATTTGAATTAATTAGTAGGTAAAGCTCTATGTAATCATTGTCGAATAAAGAATTTAACCTTTTATGATATATGCAGTTTCCATAAACCTTTCCATATGTCTTGTTGCAAACAAGGTGCCTCAGTTTGAAGAAAACGAAAACCTAAAGTTGTAGTATAATAGCCTAATACATCACCCTTCCATGAGATATGATCCTTGCTACCCTTGACAAAATGAATGCTAATCTACTGAAATTGTAGGGCCCACTCATTAGGAAGCTAAGTGTATAATAACTTAATCCCAAGCTCCATTCCTTGAGCATTGCACCATTGTTGCTTCCACATCACGAATATGAACAAACAGTACATTTGTCCCTAGTTTGCTCATATCAGACCAGTCTTTATACCAAAATGAGGAGCTGTCATCACCCAATTGAGGTTCAAATCCCTCATAGATATAAGGAGAAGTCTTAACAATGTTATTACATATATGAGATGTTCTAGTGTATTTCTTAACATGCAACACCAGCTCTCCCGTGCAAGTACTTCATACGTAAAAGACCCACCCATTGCTTCTGATTCGAATGTAAGAGATCCCACACCAATTTTCCAAGTGAAAAAAATTCACCTGTCAAGCATCACATACACCCAAACCCCTTTCCTCCTTCATTGTTAAGATGGTACTTCAGTTCACTAGAGACCAGAATCGAGTTGCACCATCCTTTGCCCATAAAAAACTTTGGCAGGCTTGATTAATCTTGTTATACACTTTTTGAGACAACCAAAGCGACTGCATACTATATAAAGGAATAGAAAAATTACAAAGTTAACAAGATACAAATGATTAGCCTTATTGAGGAACTTACCCTTCCAAGATGCTAAATAAAACATTAACACGGACTAACACCCAATTAAGGGGGGTGTATTGGTTTAGGATATCGTAGGATTTTAAAAGACTTTTTTTGAGTAAAAAAGTCCATTGGTATTCAATCAGGATTTTATGTCACTTAAAAACAATCCAGTGGTATTCAATATGGATTTTCAAGATTTTTTAAATAGTCCATTAAAATTCATTGATATTCATTTGAGATTTTTTACAACTTAAAAACAATCTATTGGTATTAAAAAATATAAGGATTTTAAAGGATTGTTGTGTGAGAGGGATTTTAAAGGACTTTCTAGTGTTATCTATAAATACCAAATTCATAAAACAATCTCATCTAAATCCATCGGATTTTGAAGGATTGTTTGAAGTGACTTTTTAATAATTTTCAAGTGAGTTTTTCATCTTTTTTTTCCTATGTTTTTGTCTTCTTCATTTTTTCTCTACTAATAATATTGCACTATTGTTCATTAATCCATCGGATTTTGAAGGATTGTTTGAAGTGACTTTTTAATAATTTTCAAGTGAGTTTTTCATCTTTTTTTTCCTATGTTTTTGTCTTCTTCATTTTTTCTCTACTAATAATATTGCACTATTGTTCATT